CCGTATGGACTCAAATTTTTGAGTCCAGTCCAGTCCATGGACTAAAAAAGTCTAGTCCAGTCCAGTCCGAGTCCATGAAATCCAAAAAATCTGAGTCCAGTCCAGTCCACATGGACTGGACTGGACTGGGCTATGGACTCAGTCCAGTCCATACGGAGCTCTGTGATGTACATTAAATGCGGATTCTATAGCAGAAAGAGCGATCCTTAGTTCGTCACCCTCGCTCTTCTACGTATGCTTTAATCATGAGTACTCGTTCTCAACGAATTTCCAGAACCATACGATAGTTAAGCTTCATACTTTGGCTAGATAATCTACAGACACTGTAGAGTCTTTGATGGGAATTTGAGGTCAAAATGATGCTCCTAGATTGAGTTATGAATTTTTTTCGCAAAGAACGCCGAATTTTCAACAAAAAAAACGATCCTCGCTCGTAAAATAGCTGTATTTCACTGGCCGTTAACAGCTAACTCACGAAATTCATACCATAGATAGGATAGAGTCGTGGCTACATTTGAGTAAAAAGAAAACGTTTTCATCTAAGTGTACGACCCGATTCCTAGAAATAACTAAAGTGTTCTGGGGATTCTTCCACCTTCAAATCTTTTTGGTGTTAGTTTGTGGTTTACGACTAGCGTCGAGAAGAGCGGAGCACGGCATAACTCGCACAGTCAAATGTATCTTTATTAGAAAGTAGACATCTGTTATTGTGTTGGTAAACTATCATTTGTAGCAGTGAAGTGGAATGTCCATGACAGAACAGATGAGAAATGACGCTTCTAAAACATGAATGACGCATTTTGATGACCGACATTAATTTCACCTATTTGGTAATTTCAACTGTAGTAATTTCACCTATAGATGAAATTACCTGTAGGTGAAATCAATGTCGGTCGCGTTAATTTACATATATATCAATGAAATACTTTATATTTTTACATTTTAGCATTATATTACCTGTTCTCATTTTTTTTGTCGTTTTAATAAGAACAACTTCGTTTTGTGACTTTTCTGTATTCTCAGTGTGCGCCCAAAGGTATGTTCATCAGTAAATATATTCATAAAGATCTTTGTTTCTCTTGGTACGAATCAGACATTTTTCATCTACCTAGGTCAAAGAATCTTGCTGTAGGATCATATAAGATTCTTGTACGATTCCGTCTGATTTCGTAAGATTCGTATAAGAATATGTAACATTCTGTAAGAAACATCGAAACTAATTCCTGATATAAGATCCTATAGTAAGATTTCATCAGATTTCGTAAAATTCTTGTATGATTTTATAAGATGAATCCATTTCTATGATTCCATAACATCTTATAAGATCGTGTAAGATCTTGATCTGATTTTTTGACCTGGGTAAGCATACATAATTTCTATTCAGAAGATACTATTAGGCCTTTTTCTATTCAGTGGGTTTGATTGCACCAATTTTTCATGTTCTACTGCCTTTCAATTATTGAACAATTCAAGAACAATCTTTACAGTGTGCAAATATGCAGATAAGAGAGAGGAATTAAAACTCCAGTCTTGAATTTTACTGTCAACGATATTTTTCGCATGTCGAACAATTCAGATGTATCATGCGCTGAAAAATGTTAACGAGATGTATATGACTCAATCGTTTCTACCGTCTAAAGCTCTGTACTAACAACGAATGGAAAAAAAGTTCGAAGTGCCCAGGTCAAAGAATCGTACTATGATCGTATCTGAATCAGACAAAATCGTACCAAATCGTATGAAAATCATATATGAATCGTGGTATCTGATTTGTCCTCTGGATCGTATAATAGGATCGTACAAGATCATATACGATCATACAACTTCGTATGAAATCGTACAGTACGGGCCAGACGACAAATCAGGTACCACGATTCGTATGTAGATCGTACATAATCGTATATGATTTCGTACGATTCGTATACGATCTTGTACGATCAGATAGTACGATTCGTATACGATCTTGTACGATCAGATAGTACGATTCAATCACCTGGGTGAATAAGTCAGACGCTTGAAACGACTTATTTATTATTACACTTTATACAACTGAATTTTTTATAGTGTATTGGTATATTTCTTCTGTTAATTGAAGACTGACAGTCTTCAATTAGCTTAAAACGCATGCAGTTACTCAGAAAAAACTTTTACTCAAAAAATGCGTTACATTACTGAAAAGAAAATGTTAGTTACTCAGTAGACTCTCCACCCCGCACCAAAACTTCTATCGAAAACGCTGTCGCCCGGTCCCGTGACTTTAGGAACTTATGTCTGCGAACGACCTTCCATGCAGTGTTTTTAATAGGAATTTTAAGCAAAATGGGTTTTCACAGTTTACCACTGCATTTTTCATGTTTTCCCTGCTAAAAACAAGGTGAAAATCGAGTTTTCAAAGTGGAAACCCATTTTGTTCAAGCGAGACCCATCGACTAACTTCTAGCGACATCTATCCACGAACTAGAAAAAAATCTTTTTTCTCCCTACATCAGTAGATATTTTCGCCATCTTTCTGAAAATTTTCTTTCTCTTGGTTAAAAAAAATTTTCTATTCTGCTCTCTTATAATTGGCTTATCTATGGCTTATCTGACGGTTATTTTTCCGTATTTTGCGCACAGATATAGTCAGTGTTTCTAACATTACGCGTACGCCTTTGTTCCAAAGCGTACGGTACGCGAACTAAATTGAAAACACGCTTTGTATTAACCAATAGAAAAAGACAGAACGATAAAATCCACGAATTACCACGCTTATGTACGCGCTGCTCAAAATTCTCATTAGAAACCCTGGATATAATAACGATTTTGTAAGACTCGAGAGTAACGTAAAGTCAAGGGGAAAAATTTTCGTGCTATTTATTGTTGAGTGCAACTGCAAAACTGGGCGAAAACTTGAGCTTCCTAAAACGACGTCGCAAATCAGAGTGGCAACGGAAACAACTCATGAGATTTTTTTGCGTTTGGAACAGCGTCTGTAGAGATTGTAGATCACATCAAACTTTTAGCGACATATTTCCGATAGAATGATGATATTTAACGTGGATACGACAATATTCTATTTTCAATCATTCTCTTCTAGATCAAATGGCAACCAATAGTCGAGGAGTATATCATCAAAAGATATATTTTTTATTTTTCATTCTTTTGTTTAATCTATTCTATTTCAGAGATATGGACAACCACGAGATAAAACTATTCAATTATCTAAAGCCTTATCATGGTTACTACGTCATGCCGTAGAAGAACAAGGTTTAACATTTCAACCGGGTGGCTATGTTTACGTGTCGGATGTTTTAAAACATCCATCATTTCAATCTTATACATTAGATGATGTCCATAAATGTGTTGAAACAAATGAAAAAAAACGTTTTGGATTAAAGACAGATGAACAAGGACAAGAAATGATTCGAGCACATCAGGGACATAGTATAGATGTACGATAGATAAATATACATTGTTTACAAATTTAGACTCTTACTTCCACCTTTAGGCTCACGTTGATTTAAGAGAAATAACGGATCCTCATGAATTTCCTACAGTTGTACATGGAACATATTTAAGACATTGGCCAAACATTGGTCAAGGGGTAATGAACTGTTACTGGAATATATCATTGTAACTGGCTATCTATTTTTCTCTCAGGGTCTATCAAAAATGAATCGAACGCATATCCATTTTGCTCCGGGTATGCCAAGAGACTCAGGTGTTATTAGTGGTAAGTGTATGCTCACTGTCACAGCTGATAATAGTCATTTATACCTTTTGTCCTCAAGGTATGCGTTCAAGTGCACAAGTGTTTATTACAATCGATATGGAAAAGGCCATGAACGGTAGTAAACAGAACATGCATATCTGTCATATGTATTTTATATAAAACTCTTTTCTGTAGATGGCTATAAATTTTATGTATCAACCAATAATGTTATATTGTGTCCGGGAAATTCTCAAGGATATTTACCATCTGAGTATTTTAAAAGTACCATAGATAAAAATGGTAAACTTGTGTGAGATACTGTATATGGTGGATGGTTGTATACGATTATTTATTTAATTTTAGGTAAAGTTTTACATTCTCAATTACCTGCAACCACTACTCACGTTTAATTTATGTGTTGTTGATATTATCGTATGTTCTCTTGGTTTAATTTATCTTCATACGTATTTATAAGGAAACAAAAAATAATTCTTTAGTCAAAGAGAGAAATGTGACGTCAATGTGCATCAATGGCATAACGATGCATTGGTATCAAATCTATGGCAGCCAAGCGATGAAAAAAGAAGTTTTAAATATCTTGAAGTGTGTGAATATCATTTTGATGTCGTTCTTATTCATAATCAGGAGTGCGATTTCACCTGAAATATTTGGCAAAACCTGAAAACCACCTTACTTTTGGACAAAATATCTGAAATTTCCAAAAAGTTTTATACTAAAAATAATTTTCTTCGATTTCTACAAAAACTAACATATCTGCAGATCCTACTCTAAATAAATGACTAAGAATCCTGCAAAGAATTCAAAATTAAAACTGTTTTTTATAATCGCATTCGATAAAGCGTTCAAAGTTATCCATAAACCCAAGTTTTTAAACCTTAACAACCTAAAATTGAGTAAGTTATCGACTTTATACAAAACGGCCCTTAAAAAAATTGAAGAAGTAGACTTTTTTCATATTCTTATTTATCCTTGTTCTATTCCCTATTTTAAAAATCCGAGTTACACATGAATCGAACGGGCAGAAAAAACTGAACAAGTCAGGCAAGTTTCAAGAGGCTCAAGTCATAAGTTAATGATAAAAAAATTCGAGTTATTCAAATTATTTAGGTTACGAAATTTGTTTTTTTTTCAGTAAAATAGCTACTTACCACGCAGCCAAATCCTGCTATACTAAAACAGTTTTAACGCAGTTTATAGAGCAATCAATTTTCTACAGAATGAGCTACTTTACATTGAAATGGGACCCAGAATGAGTTCAAAAATGAGCTACCAGAATTGGCACCATTCATCAATTTTTTTAAAACTTTAGTTTTGGACTCCAACTATTTCGTTCTCAAAGAAAATGGATATTGAAAGAATTGATCTGGAACTGCGAATTCGCCTTTGTTGTAGTTTGTAATGCAAGGAGTTTCGTGATTTGTTCTTAGACAAAAGAAAATAATAAAGAGATGATGAATTTTAAAAATGACAGAGCCATATTCGATCAAAGGTCAAGAAAAGAGAAATATGTTTGTTTTAATTCTTATCAAGTTTACCACTGTCTTGCAATACTGCCTAAGCATTTATTCATTCGAACAAAGTCAGAAGCGATCTGATACTTTAAAAACCAGAAGTTTTATTATATAAGAGAGAAAGTTGTGAATATATCGATTAAAGATGCCCAAGAAATACTTTATACCACAATCAGAAAACAAACTAGATGCCAACTGCGCTCTGCAAAGATTGGAAGCCGACTGAGCTTGTGAGAAGCAAGAAACGAAATTGTAAATATTAAGAGAATAAGAATCTTAGTAAGTCTCTACTGCATTCATGCCATTGACGGCAAGCGTTCGCTATCTCTATGTATAACATTCCCTTCTCTTTTAGACTAGAATTAAACACGTGTTAATTATCTCGATCGTGGAAAGTTTTTTAATTCCCAACTTTTGAGTGACTCTGTTTAGGGCATATACCTGAGAAAAGTACAAAGGGTAACGCAAAAACAACCTCGGTTGTGTCGTATTCAGTATAAGTTTTATATTCTCTTTTTTGTCCCAGTTTTCTATGATTTCAAGTTATCGAGATCGATGGGAGAAAAACACGCTCGAGGTGTAGAGAAAAAAAGAAAGAACAACATGCGGATTCTGCAGAAAAGCAATAAGCCGACAGTTCACTACGTTCACTCAGTCAGCTTAATAAAGTTTTTGACTCAATCCCCATTGCGATAGATCTTTTTCAATTCAGAAATATCTAGTGTTAATTTGAAAGGATTTTTCTATGGTAGATAAGAAATATTAGAACTAGAATACATTAATGTTCTTGACAAAGTGTTATGGTGTTATGATTGGTGTGACAGAAATGCTGAAGTTTTACATTGTATTAACACGCTGAAAGCAGTGTACTGTTGGCCTTGTGTCCCTTAGGAACAAAAAAGTAGAGTACCATGAACACTTTTTCAAAAGAATTGCTCGATGTGACGAATGAAACTGTTTTTTGGCCTCTTGAATTTTTTTGAAAAAACATGAAAAAGGTTTAGACACTCATCTGAAAAACTTGGCAGGTATTTTGAATTTTTTATTCTCACCCCTGGCCAAAGAAATATTGGACTTGTCCATCGAAAATTGACTTGAAAACCTTCCTATCAGCATATAGTATTAGCGTTTTGAGAGCAACATTCGAATAATAAAAACCATATTGACAGATAGTCAGTTTCGTACATGGGAAAGTCTATTAAGGGTATCCCTGCCATCCCTCCCCTCTTTTTTGACTCTGTTGCCAAATGCGGCGCATACGTCCGATCGAGCTCAAATTTATAGCAAAGATAGAACATCGAAAAAGAAAATCGATGTATTTCTGGAGTTTTCCAGAAAACCCATATAAGAACATCTCAGAAAATTCTGGACAAAAATACATCGATTTTCTTTTTTGATGTTCTATCTTTACTATAAATTTGAGCTCGATCGGACGTGTGTGCCGCATTTGGCAATAGGGTGAAAAAGAGGGAGGGGACACCCTTAACTGAATACTGTTCTGCCACTATGTTAACATGTATGCACTACAAACTATTTCTAGTCTTATGTGATTGTATATGGATTACGAGAAATCAATTTCACCCACTAAGTTTTTAGAGTACTTATTGTAATAGTCGCATTGATTTCTTCAGATCAATGTCTATTGAAGATTACGTGAGCGGATATGTACTGTATATGACGTGTATAAGTAAGCACTAAAACTATCCTCATTATACTGATGTCAGGAAATAGATATTTGTTAGTAGGAAGACAAGACGGAAAAGGTAAAAATGTAATTATAATCACGATAAAAAAATGTTTCGAGTATCTCTTATGCTAGAATAGCTTAACCGTTAAACAAGATACACTAAATAAATTTACGTGTTATTGTACATATTTTAATGACAAAATAATCATTAAAAAGTTTGACACTTTTGAAAAAGCTGCAGATTCAATACCCGTTGATTAGTGGCGGCGCCAGGGGTAGGCTGAGCCCAACCACCCAAAAATTTGAAAGTAGAGTACTCACTAGCAATAGTCACGTAAAAATTCTTGTAGAAAATCTCTTTTATCACAAGCAACGATCTGACTCCAGAAGCAATTAATAATATAAGGGTTTATCCACTGCACAAGAATAAGTTCCTATCGTCGATAGTGTGTTCCTCATTCTTGCTGAATTATGGCTGAACGAAGTGCAAACAGAAAAGAGCAGCAATGCGAAACTGCTTCCATTCAGCATTGCCAATACTGATGCAGTTGTAGTAGCGTTTTCATTCAAAAAGGGGACTTTTTTAGAATTTCAAGTGAAAATAAAACCCGGATTAACGGCCTTTTCGAAACATTCTTGATTTTTGTGTGAAAATACTATCAAAACTGAAAACGTCAGTGGACAAGTGCGCTCATACCTTCAAGTAAAAAAATACAACATTCACATAGATCAGAAATCGGATTTTCTAGGAATACGCTTTAACAAAAGAACTTTCAACTCACTCTTTTTCAGTTTCTATTCATGTAACTTTGTTTCAGATCTTTCTGCATGGACCAAAAGGGCAGAAAAACCCTGGATCATTTTTTTACCACTTCTTCAGTAAAAAAGCAAAAAAACAGATTCGTCACTAGTTCTTCTAGCGATGTGATCACATAATGAAAGCAGAAAACATTGATTCTTCGTCAGCCATTAGTACAAATGAAAGAACCGAAAACAGCTTGTCGTCGGCATCAGATTTTTCTTCAACTTCACTCACATCTACACCATCAAATATAAATCTAACACCAAACGACCCTCCAGCACAGCCGAAACTATCTCCCTACAGAAAAAACAACAATAACAGATCTTTTCAACATTCATGGTATTCGAAATATAATTGGATAGAGTACTCAAAAGAACGTGTTACCGTTTACTGTTATTATTGTCGTCATTCTGGAAGCTCAAATGCTTTACTTTCTCGAGTATTGAAGCGAATTTGTTGAAAACGGTTTTGACACCACCTTTTGTGGATTATAAAACAAAATTACACTACCTCTGAACGGATTTTTGAAAAATTATGGGCTGAGCCCAGGCACCCGAACAATCTTGGCGCCGCCACTACCGTTGATAAATCAAATACGCAATTTTATAACGAATTAAATCTTGCGTCTTTAAATCATAAAGTGGAAACTTTTAAACGCAGTTTTGCTGTTACCAAAATAGTGTGCAAAAGGGCCTATAATTCTGTCGCCCACCTGTTATAAGTATATTTTAACATTCAGCTATGTGACTTAACTTCGCGAAGAAACATATGGATGCTTATATTACAGAGTCTCTGCTAAAAAGAAACATCAACAGGCGATGTGGGCAGATAAGACAATTTGCTTGCCCAAAACATTTTCGTATTTTCTGCATTGGAACTATGTCAGGGGGCACCCAGGAACATTTTCTGACGCTTAGTTTCGAGACGGCTCTTGGTCGGATTTCTGAGACCTGAGGGACCCTACAGGGTTTCCAGAAATTTTTTTATTTTTGTTTTCGCTCGAAGCCATCTAGTCATATAGAGTCGGCTATACTGATCACGAATATCACTTTTAAACTTTCCGTAAGTATTTTGAGACGTCAGGAAAAACGTTTTACTGAAACAGGTCTTTCGCTGAAAAGCAGGATTTTGGGGTTCTTTTATCCATACTTCTAGTGGGAAAATACTCAAAACCATTGTACAATTAAACATGTTCTATTTAATGCAAAAGGAGTCAGATTTTTCGAAAAGTCTTCAGTACCCGATAATGCCAGAATACTGCAAAATCTCAAAAATCTAGTTTGTGCGGCCCGCCAGTGGTCCTGAAGCCAGGCATGCTGCAACGAAAACTTTGCCGCAAACCAAAACTTTTCAAGCTCTTTCTGATGGTGGAGTCAAAACTTCGAAAAAATTGGTGCGTCAAGTCTCCAGAAAACCTTTCCATGATTCTTCAGGATTTGAAGCAAACTAATTTCACCATCGTGATCAGCACATTTGATTACATATTTAGACATATCTTTGGGAAATTTTAGGTTTTACAGCTTGCGAGGAAACGTTATTTAACTTTGCATGTTAATTTAACATGCAAAGTTAAATAACATTGTTAAAACATGTCTTCTACTTGTACTAAGAATTGAATACTTTTCACGCATTGACTTGAATTAAGAAATATTTTTAAACCTCTGGGAATCTTGGGAGGGTCTTGAAAAAACCTTTTAGGTTTATATTTGATTACAAAACTTACACATCAAATCAGAGAATAATTCATCATATCAAAATTGCGAGTTGCCAGAAAAAATTTTGCGGGAAAATGATCAGCATGGTCAATTCAAAAGGAACAATATTTTATCTACTCTTCGCCATCTTTAATCATTTTTAGGCTTGGTAGTCTTCTGTGAGTCAGAATAGACAACTCTATTGTGCAACTATCACGTGCTACTGAAGTACACTGAATCGGCAAAGGAGTTGTTTATTTGTCGTTTTGTCGATGGAAGCTTCACTATCGACTAACGGCTGTTCTGTCAGTATGATTTTTGTACAAACTCAGGCATATTACATTAGTTTATGTTAGTACACTGCTTCCACTCTACTGTCATTGCGCACTCTCTGAGCAGAACAACTTCACGGTCGTTAGGATTTTTAGAAAACCCGGTTTTTCAAAAATCAGAACTTTGAGATCAATTTTCTCAGAGATAAAGCATCAATCAACAACAGATGTTTCATGATTTTGAAGTACTCACCATATACATCAGCACTGGGTATGGGGACAGTCTGTAGAATTTGTAATGGGCCAGCGAGAGGGAGCGGAAGTTAGTGAAAATTGAAAACTAGTGGTCAGTGTTTGCTCTACTATTCAGTCTAGCAAACAACTGAAGTCCCTTGGTTTTCACCATTAGAGAGATAAGAGATTGGGAATTCTAAATCATACTTTGGTGTTAAGGTTTCATTTTGTCTTCATCGAGATATCTGAATGGGAAAAACATCAAAAATCGCGTTTTTATACAATTTTTCTTAAAAAGCCAGAACACCGGAGAAAAATCCTTTTGCTATAAAAGGTGTTCATATTGGAGAATGTTCATATGGAGTAGTATTTATAAACTCAGTCAACTAGACTAAAGACTAAAGTCAAGGGAATTAGTTTCGTTTTGATTAATGTAGTACATTATGTTATGACCGTAGCATAGGATATGGTGAGTGTTGCTAGAACTATTTTGATTTACTTTAAACTAAAAAGTTGAAACTGATGATCGTCATTCATGTACGATTGGAAAATATTGCTAAATAAACTTGTGCGATTTTAGGCTATCAGTTCAGAATTTCTATTTGATTTTACACTTTATAATAGAGCCAACTTTTTTAGAGAAATCAGTTGTATTCAGACTACAATTCAGACGCCTTAATTAATGAGAATAATGTCCTTACTTTATCTATACACCATAATTTTATAATACAGATACTAACTGCTCTTTTTTTAAGTTTAAATTTATTTATTTAAAAAACGCTAAATCTTTTTACTATGCACATACCAAACAAGGAATTGAAAGCGAGAAACCTCACTACTGTTTCTGTATAAATTGAGCCATATCATGCAGTTCTAATATTTTCGACGGTGAGATAAACGATGATTTTTAAAAGTGCTATTTGTATCTGATGCGACAGGTGCAATTGGTTTTGAACTATTCGTTCTTATTCTTTCGCCAAAAAACTGACTGTAACTAACACTGTGTTGTTTTACATTGCCTTCTGCATCAGTAACATTTACTTCTTTATAGTACATTTTTTGATTACCCTTTTCAACTTCTTTAACACATGTACTAATTTTATAATCAGGATTTCGTTTATCCACGTTTACAGTGCATTTTGGTTCAATATTATCGAATGTTGATGGATTTTTATTAACAATATTTGTATTAAAATCAAATTGTTTGAATATGTCATTCCATTGTTTTTGCATTCTAACCATAATCGATGTTATCATATCATATATTGTTTGATTTCGATTGAATAAATTAGGAAATAAACGATTTTTATCATAACGAATTTCATCTGTATCTGACCAGTAACTAGGTCGATTAAAACGTTGTTCAAAACGATTTTGATTATTTTCAAACCATAAAGGATTATTGAACCAACCATTGACAAATGTTACAACAAGTAGAAGAAAAAGAATTAAAATTTTTTCGAAATAAAACATTATGAATTTTTAATCTAAGAAGAGAATGATGATGAACTATAATTGTACGTCAGAATAAATGATACGTTTATATGTTTTTGTTTATATAGAAGATAATACCAAATAAATGTAGAAAAGACTAGAAAATGGCAGAATCTTATCTATATCTCTATAGTGGAATATAATAACGCATAAAAAAAAGGGAAAAGAAATAGTATTTACAGAATTAATAAGAGGAGAAAAAGAAGAAGATAAATATTCTATAACACAACTTTCATAGTGTAAGAATGTATGTATGTACAATCATTCATATGTTTATCTCGTGATAATGGTTAAAAAATAGATGAATTGCGCACTTGTTAATAGTTGAAAAAACTGAATACCTGATACTTATAAACTAATCTACCTTTTACCTATCATGCTCAACAAAAATCAAAAATTTATTGCTGTTGTCATTGAGATAGTATGAACTATCGTAAACATCGAATTCATTTCTATTAGCAGATTCTGTCGAAAAAAAATTAACATTTTGCTCACAGATATATTCAATAAATTTTTTATTTGATCTTCATCTTAAGCGGAACCATTGTATATATAACAGATGGATTATTTTTCCAACAAAAAAAAAATGAGACCTTAATTTCAAGTCAACTATACTGTTGTCTGAAAAACAGGATAATAATTGTACTCTCGTTAGTTTTTAAAAATGAAAAATAAATAGGAATATAATGTATCGTGTGATGTTGTGAAAGAAATACAATAGTTCATTCCATCTGAATAGCCACAAATAAATTCTAATTTACTATCTCTAACCTTAAGAATTATCAGCCAATCAGCTTTATAAAAGTTGTTAACATTTTTTCTCTGTCTTTTTTATGTCTGCTGGGAAGACTTGTATAAAACTGTCATTTACAGAGAAGAAAAAAAAAGGAGCGAAAACTATTCGCATCGTTTTCCAGAGAATAATGTATCGATTAAATCCAACCGCTTCACAGTCTTTTTTTTTCTCTTTTCAATGTTTTTTTTATGGTAATCCTAGTTTTCATTTTCTCCTTTTTCCAGTTTTGCAACAATGAGTTTTAACTGACTGTGTTCTTCTCTCATCGAGCTGCTCTATAAAGATTTTTATTTTGTTTTTTAGCGTGTTACAGATACTAGAATGAGTTGTGTTAAATTACTGAACATATAATTAGTCCACGCTCAAAACTGACAATCGGAATTATAAGTGATTCTATTTTTAGTATCAGACCCTTCCAGAGGTGAGCGATGGACGAGGATCCTCGTAAGACTAATTACTATTTTTTCTCTAATGAAAGATGTTTTTCCACGTTTATAATTTTTCTTTTTTTTCTTGAACAAATTCATGCGTTATAATTATAATCAAGAATGTAAATAATTATATTATTTTCCTTTCTCGGTCTCTTTTTTTCATTCGATAGATCTACCTCTTTGTTCTATAATTATGGCATCAACTGCGGCTATATCGTCACTGTCGTCGATCACGTTTGACATACACAGTATTAAAATCCTTTTAAAGAGAAATAAACTGAAGCATAAAATCGTTGGTAATATGAAAGTTAAAGATAATACACTTTGTTAGAAGAGATCTGGTTTGCCGCCTCTGAAGAATGAAGAAACGAATCTGTTTGATATTATACAACACTTTGTATCATGTGAAATATGGAAAATTTTTATTGACGATGGATGAGGCGACGACGAAGCAGAAAACTTACGAAGCGATCCTGGCGAAGTAGATTTTTCGAAACTTGCCGAGGTACCGGCGATGGTGAGGCAAGAAGTTTGCGATGAAGCTAAAGATAGTCCATCGCCCACCGCTGGACTCTTCGCCATCTTGCTATTGATAAAATGATGCAGCAATACTGTCACACAGCAACAAATAATACTGACAGACATATTTTCTTGTAAAATGCTCATTACGAACGTATAAATATAATAATCGTTCCTTCTCATGTCATTAAATTAATAAATCCTCATTCTATTGTTCAAAATGCGTTCGTTTATGAACAACAGTGTTCAATAACAGATATTTTTAAATAAATTTTACCATTATATACATTATTTCGATAAACGTGCGAATGAATGTGACATAAAGCACTTGAAGCTTTTACAAATAACACCTATTTTATCCTTCAATGGCGTTCACTCTAAAACATTTATAACAGTTCTCATTGATTATTAGCAATAGCGTGGTAGATAGTAATTGAATAGTGAACTTTCCAGTGAAACAACGTGTAAATGTAGAAAAATAGCTGAAAAGAGAAAAGGATTTTTCGTCAAATTTCAAAAATTTTAAACCCTAAAAAGCCAAATTCTCCCGTAAGACTGATTTTTTGCTGTTCGATAACGTTTCTCCAAATTGAATTTCATGCCATTTTCCAGAAAAACACATTGAAGGTATGACTAAAAATGAGTTACAATGATTACCACTAAAGTTAATAGATATAACCATTTTGTTGAAATTATTATTGTTGATATAAACAACATTTATTTAGATAAAAACGAGTATGGGTCATGTCGAACGATGTATTCGTGCTTATATTCATAGTCCAAAATGTCGAACTATTTTCAACAATTCTAGGTCTTTTTCGATGATGATCGTCTTTTCCGCTGAAACGAATCGTTTTGAAGATCACTTGGATTTTTCTGGTGCCTTTATTGTGCTGACCCGTTTCCAAACTCTAGCGTTTCGTTTGATCTCGCCTACGGCTTGATTATCTCGAAATTCTTGGGTTACCATGACATAGCGTAGCTGATTTACTTTCTCTTAGGCTTTTTCTTCTTTTTCTTGTTTTCTTCATCATCCTTTTCGGTTAGATCTTTAAAACAGTGTTTGTCAGCGTAACAAACAGGCTGTCAATTCGTTCGTATAAATCTTTAATGCATCACGCCACCGTACGTATCTGAGAGATGGATGTAAGATATACTGAATTTGTCTCGATACAAAATGGCATCGGCGACAACATCGAGGCTATAGAAACTCTTCCTTTTCGCTTTCTAGGTTCAAGTTTATTAAAGCGAAGAAATTTGCTGTTGTCGCAAACCTCGTCGTTTACGAGACAGCAAATATTTCTAGCAGTCATATGCTGTTCTTGAAGAGCACTTAAATGGTAGTGTGATTCATTCTTTACCCTGTCGCAAATCAATAAACAAGATTTTATTCTTAGGTCATCTGATTGCGCGAAAAATTTTGAATATTTAAAAGAAGATTATTGTACAGATTCCTACTATAAAGCACTTAATTGAGATTTTTATTTTTTTTAGAAAAATCAACGTTTCAGTATCGTTAAACGCGTATTTTTGTTATTTTTCTACTTTTCAGTTCTATTTTAAATATATTTTATTTTCATTATTTTTCTCTTCTCCTTTCTAGTTAAAACATGTTAAAATCTGTTATTTCTATTTTTCGCTTCATTTCAAAAGCAAGTCGTGACTAATTTCATTCATTTCGTTTTCACCTATTCAAGTCCATCCTTGATTTTGTCTATCATTCTTATTTGCCGAGCGTCATCAAAAGTTATACTTATGGAGCGCATCTTTTACTGGAAAATCTAAGTTTTTCTTTTGGATACAATCCCAAATCAGTATGTTTAATATTTTATCACTATATTAAAGCACAAAAAATCAACACACATGTCAAAACTCAATAAAGGAAAAGATTCTGAAGAATGTGTCTCCATTTGTCCAAAACCAATTCCGTAGTTTCAGAATTCAATTTCCCGCGAACATAAAAAATAAACTCACGATGTATGAAAGCGCCATGATCGAACAGCATCAAACTTGGAGCATTAATACCACCATCTTCGATATTTTCTGGACAATCAATTTTTAAAGCAATGCCATATTTTCTTCCTTTGAATCTATTGATGTGATCGGTATAACATAAATGTAGGCATCTGTTGTCGAGCTATAAGTAAATGGTGACAAAATCGCTCCACGACCAGTTATTTTATCATCTCTGTACAAAAACGATTTCATAGTAACGATTGTAACAGGTAATAATGAGAAACTAAACAATGGTTCGTTCTGGAATGTGTCGATTTCTATGATCAGTCCCGTCTCTACTCAAGTCGTTGTCCTTTCGTCGTTCGTATCATTGTTAGCACTCATCGTGACAGACAATATTTTGATAAAACATCGTGAGAATTTCTTCTCTTTTGATGACGAATATTACTATAATGATTGACTCAGCGGTGACTTTAGGACTTTCCTCATAGGATAACGAAGCAGTAATCTTGCAAAATATTCGTCGTCACACACTTCAACACCTCTGAAATCAACATCACATGCTGATGAATTATACACATCGATCTAGAAAAACCAAAAAACTCTCCTCTATCAATGTATAATAAACGTTTTTTTCAATCTTATTTACATCTAATACTGCTGGAGAAAAGCACTGAAAAGCAACTTAGGTAAGTTATATATATTACAACACTCTAGTGAATGTACTCAAGTGTGAGTACTCAAAGTCGTACTCTGCTGAAAAATGTCCCGAGTACTCATGAGTGAGTAACGAGTACTGTGGGTACGACTTTGGGTACTCATGCTTAGGTATTGTTGAGTACTCATATAACTTTTGACAAAATACTCATGAGTATTGTTCATCTGATATTTTCATATAGAGGAGTGATCTCAGGCAACCAGAGTAGAACTACAAGTCTAGTCATAGATGAGTCCATCGCTCACTATATACAGAGAGACCAGTGAGAAAATAATAATATAAATATTCTATGTTTCTTCACTAAATTCTACATTTTTTATACAGTTTCAGTTTAGCAAAATAAAACGGTGAATGAATATTTTCTGAGTACTCACATGAGTAACTGAGTATTCACCGAGTAACAATACTCAAAAATTGTTAGTAGTACTAATATGAGTACTCATGGACGAATTATGAGTAAAGTCGTACTCATCGTATGAGTACTTTCACTAGGGCACCCTTCATCTAGATGAATATTTACTTTTTTTCTAACTGAAAAATGCATCCGTTTTAATACGATTTTTCTCAAGTTAGTGTTGATAGAAAAAATAGCCCGATACGATCTCATTTTTCTTGAACGACTTTTACTATTTTTCGTTTTTCTTATAACACTGTCCCTGCCTTGAAAAAATCTAAATCCATAGAAATCTATAATGGATAATACTGGCTGATCCCAATTAATAAGGATTAGTCAAAGGATGAAATATTAAAGAGAGTATCAGTTTATCTACTACCCAGGTCAAAAAATCAGATCATGATCTTATAAAATCTTACGGAAAATCATAGAAATGGATTCATCTTATAAAATCTATAAAAATTATACAAGAATCTTACGAAATCTTACTATAAGATCTTACATCAGAAATTAGTTTCTATGTTTCATACAGAATCTTACAAATTCTTATACGAATCGTACGAAATCAGACGGAATCGTACTAGAATCTTATAAGATCTTACAGCAAGATTCTTTGACCTGGGTATATACAAAAGAAAATAAAATCAGCAGCAACCTTTTAATTTTCCTGATTGTATCGGATTGTAACCGGGTCGGCAGACAGGCCGGTCTCCACCGTTCTTTTGCCGGTCAAGAAAGATTCTCAAACCGGCCGGTGATTGACCGGCTTTTTGCCGGTTTTGAAGTTCTTGGCATTTTTCTCTTCTTTACTGTCTTTCTACCCTCTTGTCCATCTAGAAAATTTTCCAAAACCGGCCGTTCTTTTCCTGGTTTTTCATACATCCACATATTTTCAATATTTTGTGCATGCACTGCAGTTTGTGGATCCACAAAATATAACGAATGATTGACTGTATGATGGTCGTAATTGTTAACTTTATATTTAAGTAGTATGCTCGACATTCATAACTGTAAATTGACGTACGTTGGTCTGGCACACTGTTGTATAACTGGTAACAGCGGCGGAAAAACGAGTTTTTTTTTAAAGTTAAAGAGTGTACTGTGCTCTGACCACATTATACTACTTAAATGATTTCTTTACGTCTCAAACGATAATTCAATTTACTTTGTGAACAAATTATGTCTCATTTTATTTCATAATCCTTTGATCAGTCAGTATTATCTATTATAGTTTTCTATAACTAGAGTCATCTATTATTCGCGTTCATAATTCCTTATACTGTTGATCCAATGATATATATTTTTAACCAATAGCTAGCTATTTTTTTCCTGTCCTATGGCTATGATACACACTCACAAATTGGACTGAATTCCACATTTACTTGACGTGCTGACGTATGCATACTCACTCGCTACGTAGTGTGTTTCATCTGTGGTATGATTGATCTGTAGAAGTACTCTGGCTTCTATTTCAGTGACCGTTGTAGAATATTTTGACTAGAAACGCAAGCCTACGGATCGAGCAGCGGCTTCCGATCCTCAGTTGACGGAATTCCGGCAACTTGACTTTTCAAAAACAGTACAAGCTGCCCAAATTCATAAAAAGTACGCTTTAGAGATACGGATATTCTTCGCTGCTGATGTCGACGGTAATATTCTGATGTATAAATCTTTCAACCTTTTACCAGAGGTGGACGAGTCATTTTCTCGAGTCAATTAAAGAATCATATAGAATTTTTTACGCTAAAAAGTTTGGAACTACTTTTAGTAGCGTTTGATTTAGATTTTTTGGGCTATAAAATGGTACATGGCAATAAATTTTACTGCCTTCATAGACTCGGCTTAGTTCTGAAAAGCAATCGACTCAAACTTTTCGAAAAGTAATTTTGAGAATTAATTTTTTCGAGTCAGTTGCTTTTCAGAGCTAGGCCGAGTCTATGAAGGCAGTAAAATTTATTGTCATATACCATTTTATAGCTCCCCAAAAAATCAAAATCAAACGCTACTAAAAGTAGTTCCAAACCTTTTAGCGTAAAAAATTCTATATGGTTCTTTAAATGGTTTTTCGACGGCGGCCATTCTTGGCAAGTAACTTCTTTCAACGGCGTTGTTTTATTTAGCTCTGCAAAGCAGCTCCAAGAGAACAGGATCAACGCGAAGTGAGGCAGATAATCTCTCCTTGGAACTAAAAAGGACACAAACGATTAACTTGGTGGCTGTTTTTTTGGCAGGAATTATTAACAGATAACTTCTGGAAAATAATCTGTTTAGAATACAATTGTCTTTTCCCACATTGCAATGTCCATGATTATAGTAAAGAAATTGTTGGAAATATGTACATCTGCTTTTGAATTAACACGTTCGCTGTCCATGTATCATATATGATTCATTTAATTTTTGACCATGGACCGTTTCTTTACTATGTGTCCGTGAGTCATATATAATCAGGGAAATTAAAAGGTTTCTGAAGGAACTTTTGTACCAAAAACATGAAAAACTGTTAATTTGAGTCCTATAATTGCATTATCGCGTATTATCTAAAATAGACGTATGGGTGATGTTTTAGACTTTCTTGTAGATAGTGAACGTGGTAAATACATGAGTTGGATAGTGTTGGTCAAAGTATTTTCAGACTGTGCCTTTCGGGCCAGATCACGAACAATAAAATCTCTCTTACTAATATGTTTTGTAGCCACTTTCTATTGCCTTTTCCGAAGAAAAGTCAGTTATGATCACTACTATCTTTTTCAGAACACGGGATCAACATAAACTATTTTTAATAACTTCTGAATAAAGACAGAAAAACAAAATAGAACTGTATTTTTGCCATTCGAGAACATAAACCGCGGGATGCCATTTGGTCAGTAAAACGAATTTCAGTATCTTTTAGAAAGTAGGTTTTCTATAAAATCTTTGAAAAAACAGGTCATACCTTCAAAAGTTCAACTAAGAAATTTACTATCAAAAAGTATATTAATACTAAAAAATTCACAGTCCACTTGAAAAACATGAGAACCAGTTGAAAACTTCAGTATATGGCTAATGTTTTTGTGCGCTGAACGCGAAAACGATCGGAAAAATTAAAAATCCATACTATTGTTCAACGGTTTTTCTAGAGCCCTTTCGAAAAAACATAGGATTTTGTCAATTTTCGTAGATTTACCGCCAATAGAGAATAGAATAGAATTGTTTACTAAAGAGACCGCGTTCAATCCTCTGCAAAATATGTATTGATTGTTTTATTGCAAAATCTGAAGGTGGAAAATAAGATGAGAAATCCTATGCAGTACGATAATGGAGAAAAAATAAGTTCAACAAATGGCTTTTAAGTTTTATTCGCTGAGCGTTTGTAGGAGGAAGAAAGCTGAAGTAACTATCGTATAGCTTGGAAAGCTCTATCTTTCACTTATGAATAAAAATATTACAAGTAGAACTGAGGGCATATGCGTAACGTTTTTTTCTTGATGATTTTTTAGCAGGATTTTGCATCATTCGATAAAACAAGTATAGTTAGTCAAACTTCATCCTTTCAGATTAAATTTTTTTTCAATTTGAAGACCAATGATTAGGTATATTTGCAGATCGAAAAAAGGACTTCCTTTATTATCACGCGTAGATAAGGTCCAAGTCATTTGTTGTTTTTGCTCGGTTGCCGATAAGTCAATCGTTGCATCGAATATTTTCACTCAAAACAAAGTTTTTTGAATGCCATGAGAGATAGGACACTCGAAACTACACAAAGTATACTTAAACCGTGCTCTGATACTTGTGATACCATTTGAAAAAATGTAGCTGTCTATGAGAAAATGTGTTATTACGCCGGATACCAGCTCTGAGGCTACAAGGAAGTTCGATGCCACGCAACCGCAGCTCTCTATCTATCTTCTTCAAACGTTATTAAAAAATTTTATGTTGAGCCCGTATTCTTGAAAGGATAATAACACAGCTAGTAAAACACAAGCTACGTGCAAGAATTTATGTAAAAGTGAACTATATCATTAAATTATGCGTTAACAAATTAAAGATGAGATATTATGTGACATTATACAACGGGCATTTCTGTACCAGTGACGTTCAAAACAAAAGCGCATTTAGATTTTCGAAAATCGCCACACCTTTAAAAAAATTTTCTCAGACGTCTGTCCGCGTACATCAGTAGGTTCTTGAGCTTTGACAGCAAATAGATAAACAAACAAATATCTTGCTGTTAAGAGAAATCTCTATTGTATTAAAACATTTTTCATTTGAACAATAAACACTTTACCTTGTTTAATAGAACGATCAAGGCTATGGATACATACTAATAAAATCATGAATCTTTTTGATAGAATGACATTACTTTCTCACAAATATAGCTGTGCGTTCACATTTTCTTCATTCTATACTTCAACGTTCTACATAAACGGCAGATTTTATCTATTGTCTTTTTCTCTTGTTTGAGTCGTCAACCGTCTACTCAATGCTATTATCATCATCATTCCATCATATGCAATGTTGTCTCATCTTGCTGTTTTTAATACCATTTATCTCGACATACACCGATCCATCTGCCACAAATCCAGAATTGATAAAACGTTTTGAATATAAACTTAGTTTTAAAGGACCACATTTAGTATTCAAAGATGGTACAATACCATTTTGGTCATTTGGAGGAAGTAAACGATGCCCAACATGTTAAATCACAGTAGTGTGAGTTCTATGTATGCATTTAGGCACCATTCCTAGTGAAGATCAAGTTCGAATTACACCATCTATTCGAAGTCTAAAGGGTATGAATAATTGGTAGCTTAAATACTATGATACCAGAAGTTTCTCGTATTTTTATATAGGGTGGATTTGGTGTCAAAATGTATTAACAGCCGACAATTGGGTGTTGGATGTTAAGTTAAGAGTGATGGGACGTGGAAGGACTGGCGCAGATGGAATGGTGAGTTTATTGGTTTATTTCAGTAAAACATTCATAAATTAATATTTTATTTTATTTGTTCCTGTTTAGGCTGTATGGTTTACAGAGAAACCTGGTGTTGAAGGACCAGTATTCGGATCAAATGATTTATGGAAAGGCTTGGGAATATTTTTAGATTCATTTGATAACGACGCGCTGGTAAGAGAAAAATACTCAATTTTCTTGAAGGTAGAGCACAAGTTACGGAAGAATATGAGTTATTTGTTATTAATGAGAGAACCAACTTTTTCGTATCTAGATGGATGTGGCCGAAGACCGTCGTTATATTTTGTTATAAAAACATTAGGTGAAACACTTCGTAACATATACATTACTTAGCAGCTATCCCAGTTACTTGTCCGTTTTTCTATTCTTGTTTTCCTACACAACACACTTATGCAAACGACTACTGAGGATGAATACCATTACTGGATACAGAAGTATTTTAGAGTACTTGCTTTTAGTATTAAACAAATACGTCTGTAGCTTTTTACTGCTGCTGCTATAACTGTTGTTGTTGATGGTATATTCTCCAGCATATTTCTAAGTAACGTGTTTACTATCTTTCCTAAGCAAGCTTGCTTATTATTCTTCCGTTAACTTGTCAAAGTGTCGGTTATGTTAAAAATAGCATAAATCGTCTAATGAAATATGGCACTTAGTCTATTTTCTCCTTCCTGTAAATGTCTCTCTTGTTAAAAGTTTAACTGGATAGGTTAAGTTCTTTGCCTGTCATTTGTGAATGTTTTGAGATACTTATTTGACTCCATCCAAATTGTGTTAGATGTTCAGAAATTTTAGTCGTGTAATCTAATACGTCGTTAAACAGTAGTACATGTGTTCGAATCTCTCTATGTGCCATTATTGGGCAGAGAACTTAGTGTGTAACAACACGATGATGTGTTTCTCTTAATCAATAATGGCTAAAATAAAGAAGTGAAGTTTTAATCCCAGCATGTTCGTAATAGCGCATGGCTGATTCATGACTTCAGTACAGTATTAAAAGACAAAAAAAGGAACTTGTTTAGTGTACTAAATTTATTATCATTTCTATTTTAATTTTAGCAAAATAATCCAATTATAGCTGTGATGGTGAATGATGGTACAAAACAGTATGATCATCAACATGATGGAACTGACCAAATACAAGGAAGCTGTATCAGAGATTTTAGAAATAAGCCATTACCAATTAGATTAAAAATTGAATTTTTTAACAATGTTTTAACGGTATGTATGTTAGTTTAATTGAATATAAAGGGTAATATATGGATGAGATACAAACCAAAGTGAACTTTATGAGTTAGTATTTAGTCAAAAGAAGGGTAGATTCTATATCAATGACACAAAAATACTACGCACTTGAACATGGTCAGGTATTTAAATAATAACTGCATAAATAATCACTATTTGTCTTGTTTTAGTTATACATCAATAATGGTTTGACTCAAGATGATAATGCTTTTGAGTTTTGTACACGTGTTGAACAACCAAATTTACCAAAATCAGGCTACCTCGGCGTTTCAGCTGCCACAGGTTTGTACATTGAATTTTATTATTTCTCATTTACTACTATATTATAATTCAGGTGGTCTGGCTGATGATCATGACGTAATAGAATTTTTATCATATACATATATTAATAAACAATCTGTAAGATCTTGTTAACAGTTCATTCTTCATTATGCTGTCTACTGCATTTGTGTAGATGAATCAAGCAAACGAAGAACAAATGAAAAAATATAATGAGGAATATGAAAAATATGATCAGGATTTGAAAAAACAACGTGAAGAGTATGTATAGTTCAATAGAGAGTTCTGAGTTTAAACAAGAGCCTAAGTGTATACCCGATCAATATGTTTTGTATTATATTTACATTAAGCACAGCCGTAGGACATTATTTTAAACGCTTATCTAATAGTCAGAAAATAACATATTGGTAGCAAAATGTCACAATTAAACGTTTGATTATTTCTTTCTGCTGAATTGTTTAGTAGAAACTCTATCTAAGAGTTATATCTGGTACAATATTCATAGATATGAGTTATTTCGAACAGAAACTATAATTATGCACTACTTTCTGCGCTGTTTTTTCTTCAGTAGTAATGTGTACTTACGCTCAAGTTTTATCGTTTATAGTTTCTTATTTTATTTATGGCTCTCAAAAAGTACATCCAACTAATCAAGGGATAAATTATTCATTATACAGTGTTAATTGCTCAAATCATTCAATATAGATACAAAAATATATAAAATGTTTCATCTGTTTCTACTCACAGTATTTTTATACGAAGTCTGAGGGCAGAAGAAGTTTTGCTGAATGACGAAATTTTCAATTAATGATTGATAAAAATATTATAAAACTTTTATGATTCATTTTTTTCCAAATGAAATGCATATTTCTCTTCTCTCTTCTAATCAAAATCACTGTCTACTGGCACCTCATGTGAAAAAACTATTCTAAGAAATAGGAGACCAGCGTATAATTTAAGTTTCTAGATCACTCATTCATTCTTTTTTTGACTGTAATGAATTTCATGAAGTCAGAAGCCACATTATAGAGAATATCTTAGTATCATGTGTTGTGGATCACAACATTTTTTTAATTTATTTCAGTTACCAAAAAGATCATCCTGATGCACCTCAACCTACTGATGAGAAATCTTTAGTATGTATGGGTTTTTTTGCACAACTTCCTTCTTCTAATCGAACATTTTACTTTTAGTATGAATCCGAATACGACCGGGAATTTCGTCAAATATTAGAAACACAAGGTCAAATGCGTTATTCATTAGTAAATATTGACAGACAAATGGCTGAACTATTAGGACGAATTGAAAGATATCAAGGAATAAATCAAATCGTTTCGACTGGAATACAGGTACAAATTAATGAATATATTTTTTTTTTGGTGAAGAGTCTTGGATTTTCGTAAAAATTTGAGCAAGTATTAAATTTTGAAAGTAAAGCTATGAGAATAGTATATTCGAAGGGCGATGATAACATTCCATCTGATATAGCACGTGTTCAAGATATAAATCATGTAATTAGTTCTCAGAGTGATGTAACAAAAACAATTCAAAGTCTGAGGTATAAAATAAGATATTGTGTTGATCTTCAGCTTTTTTGATAAAATAATTTTATTTAGCCATATTCTCGACGATTTACAACAAAAAATCAATTACTTACAAAATCAACCTCCTTCTGATAGTTTAGCCACGCCCACTGATATTGTTACCAAAGGGAGCTTATCAGATAACATGATATTAAATGAACTTATGAATATAATTAAAGCCATTAAACAAGAAACGAATGTTTTAATGCTACAATCAGGTGTAAGTTAAACATAGTCATACTATTATGAAATAAATGTTTTATATCGGGCTCATTTAGACTCAAACAAAGTGTCCAATATCGAACAGCGGTACCTGTTTGGGTCGTTTTTTATTTTTATCAGTTATTTCCGTACAAATTGTTGCTATTATTGGTTATTTTACATACAAGTAGGTATAATTAATTGAAGCACTTTTGATTAAACTCAAATAGTGAACAAGTACTTAATCTCGGATTGTTGAAGATGAAATACTTTCTGCATAAAATAAAAACTTATAGATAAAAATAGTTGGTGATATAAATTCGCATTCAAACAAAATCTTATCGAATATAAAACCTTACAAATACTTCGAAATACCACAGCAAACTCATTATATTGTTTGCTTTATCTTTTTTAGGAATCGTCAAGAACGTGTATCCAGAAAATATGTCTAACATTCTTTCTCAAAATATTTTTGTTTCTTTTTTGTTGTTGTTATTATTATTATTGTTATTTTAAAGATCAAAAATGACAAAAAAAGACTATCATCGACATTGCATTAATAACCTTAAAAATATGAAAAAAAAAACGGGTGAATCGTGTACAATTACTTTTTTGTTATTATTATTTTACTTATTATTTTACGCTTTTTTTGTTATATTTTGTTTTGTCTTTACGTTTTTACTATTGAGACTATAAGTCAAACAAGAAACTCAATTTTTTTTCTTGTAAACTTATTTGTGTTATAGGTAATTTTGCGAATCTCTCTATTGTTATTGTTATTTGTTGTTGACAATTTTTTTTTACAGTGTCTGCAAGTGTTCTTGTTTCTGCTGGAGGAATAAACCACTTGTGTATTTTTATGTGCATTTTTTTCCATGGTTTTAAAACAGTTATATACTTTTTCTAAAAAGTTACTCAGTGGTTAGAGTGCGATTGTTTATTTCTTTTCACCTATTTTAGCAAAATATTTTGAAAAAATACTTAGACTACATCATTTCCTATGCAAAATTTTATTGAAGAATCACTACTGTCTGTGTTAGCTAGATTTTCTATAGACTAGCTTCACAGCATGACTGAGTGGTTTGAAAATAGTTTCGCGATGTCATCCGATCAAAGTAGGCAAGATATGATCTGAGGTTGTTAGCTGATTTCGTTTTTTGAAACAGAAACAACTACTGAAATTAATAATGCAATAACATGAATCACATTATATTCGATATAGCAAGATAGAGCGCATACATAGAAAACATTTTCGATTAGTAGAAAAAATTGAAGCCTAACGTATGTAGATGATGGCAGAGATGGAAAAAAGTTGAGCAGAAAATTGAGCTTGAGGTTTTAAAACTAACGAGGTTTTATTTCTCAGTTAAAATGTTTCCTCTTAATTTATCCGTTTTAAACGTTTTTTTGAAATTTTCTGATGCGCTTTTCGATGAATATGAGCAATATGGGAAAAATTAAATGTGTTTAGAAAAAATTGAAGAATAGAAGAAGTGGAAGTATATCTAACTGGTCTATTGTTCCATCAGCCTTCTACTTTTCCCATTCGATCATATCCTCGTGATACTAAATTATTCTATAGTCAATTAATACACAACAGCAAAATGAAACTTAACAGAACGAAAAAATGTAATTTCAGAAGAAAATACTGACAGTTATAAACATCATAATCAGCACATATCGAAAATAGTTTTCGTTTCTTGCGTATATATGCACCAGTTACAGGTTTTTGGCCAGAACTCATGTATTTTGTTCATGTATTTTTGGCAAAAACCATGTCTATTTTTTTATCAAATAATCTAAGAGCATGTGTAATTAATGGTATCAATTATGTATAATACACTATTCGATTATACAAGTGAAACTTTATATAGCCCCACTAAAGAAATATACGTCAAAACCAGTCATTAGAAGTCAACGTACATACATGGGACGTTCAAAAAGTTCTCGGATTGATTTTTTTTTAAAAAATTAAAAGGCGTTACAGTGTTCGAGTTGTTGTCTGTTTATAGGTCATACAGTCTTCTATCCATAGAAATTACGAGCTTTGATCGATCAAATATGTTTTTTAGAACACATTGGAACAAATGGCGCAGATTAAATAACACTAAGTATTTCGTTCATCAATTTTTTTCTTTCATTCCCCAGAACCAACCTATTTTTTTTGCAAAAGATGCGTTTTGAAATTCTCTATAAAAAACATATTAAGTGTTTTGCTACAAAATGTAAGAGTGAAAGGTTATACGTGAATAATGGTAAGAAGATATAAAATGGGCAAAACTGTAACGCACTTTATAGAGAATTCAAGTTTTATTTTAAAGCACTTTAGATATCAAGATACACTTTGTAGCAAAACACTCAATATGTTTTTTGTAGAGAATTTCCAAATGTATCTTTTGCAAAAAAAGATTGATTCTTGGCATTACAAAGCCTTTTATTTTTAAAAAAATATGTTCAGAAACTTTTTGAATATCCTACGCACATCTACGCTGGTCACTCTCTTTAAAATTTCTTAAAAAGCTTTCATATTTCCTAAGCTATATTTATCTTCTACCCTTCTAATCATTTAAAGTGGACGAATGAATGAGCTGAATCGTTTAGAGAATGACCATATCACTTACACTCCTCACTCCCATCTTTATGGGCAACTATCGAGTGATATTAAAAGTTCTTTTTGCTTGTTATGCATGTACGCAATAGAATTTTGAGTGAGCATGATGTTTATATTTATTCGTTTCACAGGACATGGCCGTTGTTTGTTCTTTAGAAAATAGAATAAGGTCGTTTAGACAAGAATAAGACGTTATCAAGTGGATATATAAATATATACACCTTTATATTTACTACATATAATAACTTGTCTATTTAACTTTTATTATAGATATGCAATAAGTGCATCTCAATCAATTACTTTTACAAAGTAAAAATCATTCCATATATCATCATTTTATGCAGAAAATGTCAGCTAAAACTATCAATCATATTATAACACCGGAAGCTATTGAATTTCTTAAATCACTACATCTTAAATTTAACTCTGAACGTCAAAATCTTCTACAAAAACGTCTAGAACGTGAAAAAGAATTCGAAAATGGTGTATTACCAAACTTTTTACCAAAATCAAAAGACATATTATCTGATTGGAAAGTAGCATCAACACCAACTGATTTAGAAGATCGACGTGTAGAAATAACAGGTCCCGTAGAACGTAAAATGATTTGTAATGCATTGAATAGTGGTGCAAATGTATTTATGGCCGATTTTGAAGATTCTCTATCACCAACATGGACCAACATCATTGATGGTCAAATAAATTTGTATGATGCTGTTAGACGTACAATTTCGTTTACATCGTCTAAAGGTAAAACATACAAGTTAACAGATGAAAAACCATTAGCGACCTTAGTTGTTAGGCCGAGAGGATGGCATTTGAATGAAATACATTTTTCTGTTGATGATGGTGAGAAGAATCTTGAGCCAATTTCAGCGAGTTTATTTGACTTTGGACTCTACTTTTTCCATAACGTTCATGAACTTTTGAAACGAGGTAGTGGACCCTATTTCTATTTACCAAAACTTGAAAACCATTTGGAAGCACGTTTATGGAATAATGTATTTAATTATGCTCAAGATAAATTAAATATTAAACGTGGTACAATACGTGCAACAATTTTAATTGAGACAATATTAGCTGCATATGAAATGGAAGAAATACTTTTTGAATTAAAAGATCATGCATCTGGTTTGAACGCTGGTAGATGGGATTATTTGTTTAGTTGTATAAAGAAATTTCCAAGACAATTTGTATGGCCCGATCGTCAGTACTTAACAATGACGCTACCATTTATGCGTACGTATACCCATCTATTAGTTGATACATGTCATAAACATCAAGCACACGCCATTGGTGGTATGTCAGCGTTTATTCCAACTAGAAAAGATTTCCAAATTAATGAAGTTGCTTTTGCAAAAGTGCGTGACGATAAACAACGAGAATCGGAAGATGGTTTTGATGGGACATGGGTAGCACATCCTGATTTGGTCCAAGTAGCAAAAGGCATATTTGATCGTGCACTTAATGGTAAACTAAATCAAAAACATCATCAACGTACTAATATCATACTTAATACGAAAGATTTATTTAATTTTCATGTACCAGAAGGCAAAATTAGTGAACAAGGTTTACGAAATAATATTAATGTTGCATTACAATATATTCAAAATTGGATACATGGCACTGGTGCTGTAGCGATTAATAATTTAATGGAAGATGCAGCAACAGCTGAAATATCCCGAGCACAAATATGGCAATGGATTCAACATCAAACAAAACTATGTGATAATGGAAAAATTATAACAAAAGAGTTATATCAAGAATACTGCGCTGAAGAAATAAAAAAATTAGAGGAACACATATCATACAGTAAAGCAAAAATGATTTTAGATGAACTCGTTTTAAATGATTCATTTATTCCATTTTTAACGTTGATTGCTTACAAATATTTAGATTCAAATACTGATATTGGATCATTGCGATCATCCATATGATCTAGTATCGATTATTCAGTTTAAAGAATTGATCAACATTGATAGAAAAAATCTTGTAGAAAAACGATAAATCAGATAATATCTGTACTTGTATTCTAATCAATAAATTTTCGAGTTGATTGAAAAAGTTGGCCCTCATCAGAATTTTAAATGAGACCATATGAACTTTGTCTATTATGAAAATCATACATGTGTTATTTGAACAAATATGTAAACATATATTGTGTAATCGGATCCTGAGAGAAAGGTTCTGGACCTATGAAAGAGCAATTAACTATCCAGTTTGACTTATGAGCAGCAACAGAAAGTGAAAGTATTTATCTAGTCTTCAGAGGAGACGCTGACAACAATTATAGAGATTATTTATGTCGTTAAGAATCGAAAGCAATGGTATCAAGACGCCATCAAAGTTTTCTCGATTTAAGACTACTTTCTGTTGTTTTCCTTTTTTTTCTTAAAAACACTGTTCGCGCGAAGTTGAACATTTCTTTAGAAATCTAAGTCAACTCTAATCGAGTTGTAATTGGCTGGCTTTAGTTGTGACATTTCATCATCTTTTCTATTCACAATCATGGTTATCACCGTCATACCTATCACAGTTTATATCTGTAGTACGACAATTTATTTCGAAATATGTTGATAGGAACTTATTTTAATTTAAAATGTACTTTTTATTTTCTGTTGATGATGTATCTACGCCAGAGTTGGAACCGGCTGAATTTTTCCTAACCGAACCGGACCGACCAGTTTACCGGCCGGTTTAATGCGTGGTTCAACCGGCAGAAAATCGAACGGTTCAATTTTGAAGTTGAATCGGTAAAAAACCGCCGATTCCATAGCAGATTAAAGTCCAGATTTTGTAAAAAGTCGATTTTTTGCAGAAAGCTAAGCTTGTGTATTTTCAAAATCTCCCAGTTCTGGTTATTTCAGTATTAACGTGAGGTACTGACAAGGGGGAAATAGCGGACTCCTATGGACTCTTATAGACTTCTATGGATTGCTGGAATCCCATGGACTCCTGGACTTCAGGAGTCCATGGGAGTCCAGGAGTCCATAAAAGTCCATAGGAATCCAGGAGTCCGCTATTTCCCCCTTGGGTACTGAGCACGAAGTTCAACCCAATACGAAACGAAGAAAAATTCACGGGCTAATTTCTGATGATGTATGAAACTCAGTAGGAAAAAGAATATAGATTAATCACATTTTAATGAAGAAAAAAAACTTTTTTTTTCGAGCTAATTTTTCATGAAGAAGGAAATTTTTTCGGACGAATGTTTTCGAAATGGGAAAGAAAATAATGGGAGAAAATTTTAACCTATGTTCATCTATATCCGAAATTAGCCAGTGATAGGATAAGTATAAAATGAATTAATAGATCATTTTTGGATCTACTGCCTTTTTTCAATCTCCCTTGGGCGATTTCAGTTAACATCTCGAACTTTTGTCGTACAGTATTCATATTTCGCTTGTGATTCGAAACCGGCAGCAAACCGTGTGATTAAACTGTTAAAAAAATCGCTGTTAACCGGTCGATTGAAAAGTACCGATAACTGATCAACCGGCCAGTCCCGTACCGGTTCTAACTCTGATCTGCACCAATATTGTTATTCATTTGGTGTCGCACTTATCTTCACAGATGACAGTTCAACAGGTTATAAACATTTATTTACGTCATATCAATCAGTGAATATTCGAGAATTACCGGTATCATACATCCCAGATGCATACTACTTTAAAGATATCAGAGACGCTGTTACCCTGAAACGGATTTGATGTTTAAAATATCATGTTTAAAAGTATTTTTTCCGATAAAAATCCACGAATATAGAATATAAATTAGTAACTTTTTATAGAAAATATTACAGCATCAAGAACAAGATCAAAGTCAACTGAAGGAAGTTGATATAATATGGATAAATCAGATACGGATGTCGATCGACTCTTTAAGCATCGAAAATTGATTTGTAAGTTATGTCATAATTAAAAAATTTTTTCATAAAATCCTCTACAAACCGTACCCATATGAAGCGTTGACTCATTTTTTTTTATGCAAATCATTGTTTAAACATATGAGTATAAAGCAGGCGTATGAGCCCCTGAAGAGTTTGAATTATGTTGTTGAATTTCATAAAGTTCAAAGGCATAAAATTAAACTAAATTGGCGCTTATCATGATTCATTGTTAACTTTTTTGCTTTAAAAACTTAAGTTGACTGAATCTAAATTCTAAATAATGACTAACATAGGATTTTTACTATTCTTATTCGCTCTCTGTGGTTGTGCAGTCGTCGTCACAACTCTCATTGGTGGATTATGGTTCATCTGTTTTTATTTACAACCTGGTCGTCATCCACCTATAAAACGTATGCCATTTTATCGTGAACAATTTGAAAAAGATCGTGATCCAACAAATATTTTAGATGATGATTTGCCACCGATTAAAAAAATATACGAACAGCAACAAATGAGAAATAATCATCCAAAAAATGGTCAAAGTAAAACTCATAGTTGTCATCAATATTAGAAAAAAAAACAGCCGTTCATCGTCAAATCAAGAATAATTGAAAATAATCATTAATTTTCACTGAAAATTAGGGAAGTTCGTGGTACAACAATTAGCGATGAATGTAGATAAAAAAAATGATCTCTAAAACTTTTGAAATTGAACCTTAATCCATCTGTACCATCAACACTATTCTTTATAGAATTTGATTGCATTCTATTTTAGATTGCTTTTACTGTTTTTTAGCTAGAGAGAGACCAATCATAATCAAATAATATTTTGTAGTTCATGCACTCTGTCGAAAAACCTTGGGAGAAAAGTTGAATAGAATGTATGTTAAGCGTGAATCTTATTAGACTTTCGTGAAAATAAATGGACAACTGCCTTTTCTGCACATTGACCAAACAGAAGTATTCCTAGTGTTGATTTCTTCTTGCACGTTTCACAAACAATTCTCTTTTGTAACTAAATGATATATCAGTATTACTACAAACAGACTGAGTTTGTCGTCATATACAGAAATTTTAACACTTGCTTATTGAACTTGTGTATACTTGACCTACACACGCTGTATACACGTTCCGTCCAAAAGACAGATTCTAATTTTTACAAATGGCTTGTCGGATCTATACACGAATAAACGAAGATGAAGATACTTATGTCAGAAACGTACGTAATTTTGCAATCAAACATTGGTCATTTTTTTACTTCGAATGTTAAGGCAATATACTGCTGCGGAATATAATTCTTCACAGGGCAGCAGTAAGTAGTTGGTGCCCTTGATATTTTTTTCAGGAAGGGTAATTGCCCCTCTGCATAATTTAATACGCATAATTCTGAGATTTGGTGGGTTCTACGCAGGTTGATGTTAATAAAAATGTGTTACTAATATCATTTAGTAGTAACAGAATGCATTGTTTCTGGAACGTACGAGAAAGGTTAATATTGTTTTTGAATTGCTCTACATTTGTTTCATCACCTGTTTAGTATCGTTTTTATAGAGATGTCCCTTTCTTTCATCATTACAATTGATTTCCGCCTATCTACAAGTAAGAGGAACTGATAGTTAAATGTTTACTTGAAGAAAAAAAGTCATCGCGAGCCAACCTAGTAGTTCCTGATATGGATCAATTGATTGTGTGATTTATATACACACAGAAATGAACGGGATTTGTTTTCTTAGATAAATTTTTTCGACGAGTGAGTGGCACATTCTATCAACAATTATGTGTCATTTATTTATATTTGATTTGATGTATATCATATCAAAAATGAAACTATATTTTAATAAATTACAACAATGCACAGGTTAAGCAAATAAATAAACTAAAAGAATTTAAAGTTACGGTGCTTGTGATGTAATCAATATATATATGTGGATTTTTCAAACGTTCTGTTGTTTCAATATATTTTTTGTCTTTTTCTAGACACTCTATTCAAACAAAAAACCATAGTAACTTTCCTTCTCCTTTTCGTCGTCTTTATACGAAGAGTATAATGATGATGGTTACACTACATACAATATAGAATATAAATTCTTAATTTATTTCCATTTAATAGTAAGACATTTCGTAGTTAAAACTCTTGAAAACAAAAGTAACTTCTCTAAGATAAGATTGATATTCAGTAATATAATTAATATGAATCAGAATAATATTGTCGATTTGTCTCAATATTCTTCGCTCAGTGTGGAGCAATTTGAAAATAATCCATCGTTTTCTCGTGATTTATTACAAAATTTAGGTCTATATTCTCAATATGATATTCCCACTCTCGTTCAATCATTACCAAAACGTATGCATAATTTAACAAAAGATATTTTGAATATTTGGTCATCTGTCAAACGTGAATTAACACCCAATGAACTCAAATATTTGGATCTTATTTCAGTAATTGAACTAAAAATGGCAGATATGATACAAGTTCTTGAAAAAAATATTGTCGATAAAATTCGAGACATTCTCTTTCCAACGCCGATTATTGAAGCTCTAACTACTTGTGTAACATACATACGAGATGAATATGTTGGTGATCGTACAAATAAAATTCTTTTCTACATTATACATATGTTAGATGCACGTATATTAGTTCATCGTTTATGCTATCAAACTTTAATAACACAACCAGATGATTTATATGATGAAATTACACGGTGTATAACACATAAACATTCTAAAACTTATCTAAAAAGTAGTATCAGTAATTTTTCATGCACTCTGGAAAAATCATTAACAACTGAAAATAACAATTTTGATTATCTTCATTTATTTTTCATTGGATGTTGTACATATTTCTACAGTTTATATAAACCTCAACCACAAACTATACCGATTGATAATGATAAATACATCTATCTTTATTGTAAATATTTTCGTACACTCATCTCACAAACAGATTATTCATCAAATGAAAATATTATTTATTGTCTTCGTGGTGTGATGGCTTTGTTAACAAATCGTATTTCAATTGATTATTGGTTAACTATTATTAATCAAGCATTCCTTGAACCCGATGATACAATGGTACAAGCAAGAAATCCGTTTAATATTCATTTTTTTATATGTATAAGTGAACTGTTAAATAATGACAACTTAATTAAAAAAATTGTTGATACATGGTCAAATAATGTAACACGTTTACTTGATATAACAATGGTGTTTTTAAACAATTTATGTGTTGCCGATAATGATACAAATCAGGTTGTTGATTTATTGAAGAATTCACCACATTACGTTAAAATACTCATTAAATATATTAATGTGCCATATGATCGTCTAAGATTAATGGCATTTTTTGTTCTCGCTGAAATTATTCTTCTCAAAGATTTGAAAACAATACCAAATATCGCTGAAAAATTAACACATCTTGTTTTTGAATTTATCCAAAAGGCTGCTGATAGTCCAAAAAGACGCTATAATGGTATCCCATTTGAACTCCTGTTGAAATCATTATTAACATTTATTGAACAGGATGTAGTTAAAAAAGAAATAATACCTTACATTGATCTTATTATTGATTATATTATCCAGAAACGTGAGTTTTCTGCGTTGAAAATTATACGTAAATTGTCTTTATCGACTGAATTAGCCGATATATTGAATCAAAACCAAAAATTATCAGAAATATTAAATAATCCCAAAAAATATTTTGATGGTAACGAAAAGCATAATAAAATTATTGAAGAAATTCGATACCAATTAAAAGTATTACCGTTCGAACACCAAGAAAATGAAAATAAACAGGAAGAACAACAACGAAGACAACAGGCATTATTAACTGATTCAGGAAGTAAGTTAATAAATATTACCCGTCTGCTCTTCTGATAGTCTGACAGCTGCTGAAAAAAATATCGCTTTAATACGCGCTTAATGGTCAGTGTCAAAAGTTCAAAATTCGAAAAAGTCTCATTAATTTTGGTAAAGATATTTTTCTAATCACAAATCTAGACCGAATATCAAAAATTGAGCTCTATCAGCCTCTAGCCACATGTGTCAGCTTCAATTTAAGACCTTCCCGAGCTCTCTGCGATGTTTCATTACAGAGAAGTCTGGAAACTACGAAATGATGTTAAGGTGAAAGTCGCTTTCGAGATAGAGTGGCGCCAGTATCTGATGCATGTTTTAGGGCTTTCAGCAAAACTCTCATAACTCTTGATCAGAACATCATTCCGAGCTGGGAAATATCTCATTATGATCAGACATGTTCGCTCTATTTTCCTATATACTAAAAGTAATTTTCGATTTGCTTTTAATCGGAAAGTAAAACTGTTTCGAAAAGCCAGCTTTTCAAGGTTTTCATAAAAATTTCTAAAAACCTCCATATCCGTTCAATGAGAGCCAAATAACATTAGATCCTGATGGTTAGATACTGTGGGCTATCTGATGATGTGCTTAGCTCAATATCGACTTTTTATAAAAAAATTATGTTTCTGACGGGGAGAGAGCTTAATTCGTGCACTTTTGTTGTATTGAGAATATATAAACGATTGGATAATATAATAATAATAACTGATTGTTTACTCATTTATTACGTACAGTAAGATATAAATGTGATCCTCATGAAGGAATTAAAATAAACAAAATTGAGGATGATCTAAGACTTCACCGATCTGATCGTAAAAAGTAATTTTGTTTTATTATATACATTCGAGCAGTAACTAAATCGAACGTTCCACGGCGTCATGTCCTAGTATTGGCTCCTACATTCAAACTTTAAACTTCCTCTAAGAACAGAAGACTAACCTTTCTTAGAAGACCTCTATTCTGAGGATGAGTCTATACTATGTATAAAAAGAACTTCATCTTTGTGGAAATAAAGTACACACTGTTCTTTATCATTTACTTGGTTGAAATATTATGTTCACTTTATTTCCGTTCGAATAAGAATTTTTATTCTTTAATCTTGAATTAGTGAAGGTACTGTTGTAAATGCTCGTTGGATACATCAGGATCGATTTTTTTTTTATATTGAATTTGACTGCATCTTTTATTCTATTGGAATAAATATTGTTTTTCTTTCTTCATTTTTACAGCATCAATTAGGAGCAAGAGTGATTTTCCCAAATTATTCATTAGTTATTCTCATAAAGATAAAGAAATCTGTGAGACAATTGTTAATGAATTAAAAAAAGAAAAAAACTTAAAAGTATGGTTCGATACCGATAAGGTCAAAGATTATGTTATTGAAGATATAACAGCAGGCGTAAAACAATCGGATCGTATTTTACTTATGTTAAGTGATCACTATGTTAAATCAGATTATTGTAGACGTGAAGTGAAGTTTTCTGAAAGTCACAATAAAATATTAATGCCATGTATTATTCAAAAAAATTTTCGTGTTACTAATTACGACTGGCTTAATTTCATCCTAGAAGATAAATTCGTATATTCTTTTCATAAAGACAATCCACCGTATACATTAACATTAACCAGACTAATAAGCCATATTAACGACACAAACAATAATGAGATAGATAATACATCATTAACTGTAGATTCTCCTAATACATCGATCAGTGTTACAATTAATAAAAAGAGAACGAGTAATTATTTGATGAAACACCTGGCTGCGTGGAATTCAACGGATATATGGGAATGGTGTATGGATAATAAATTAGATAATTGGACAAAATCTTTACGTCATTATGATGGAGAAGCATTACTAGAATTAAGTAAACTCATTAACAAGGACAGAAAACTAAAAAATATTTGTCTGAACAGTCAAATAAACGTATTTGATGTTGCGCTATTTAAAAGTGCAATGAAAAAAATTCAGTTAAAAAATGATAACAACAATCAAGCATAATCCTAAACAAAGATTTTACAGTGACTGAGCGGGTAAAAAATTGAGTAAAACTGGAACACACTTCGGATATACGAACACGATAACGGTCAAATTCTTATGAAATATGTTAGAAGATTTAGTCTAAAATAAGAAAAAGTAATGACCAATGACAAACTATGGACATAATTCTCTGATTACAAATTTGATTTGATAGTACAGGGTGTCCCAAAAGTCCGGCGAGAAAAATTTTTTTAATAACTCCGCCATTTCTTAGCCAAACTTCAAGATTGTGTTTTTGTTTGATAGAGAAACGTTCCAAGTTTTATTTCGTACGATTGGAAACTCTTGTTAATATTTGAAAAGATGTTTGGGTTTATTATAGTGAAATTCAGATATTTTGGGACTGGTTTTTAATAAATTATGTGCTGCAAAACTTTTTGAAAAGAACATAAATAATTTTTAATATTAAAATAAAGTAGATGATGACGGCTTTCACATAATGAAATAAGAATTTACTTTTGTTTAGGTGAATTTCTTTAGCCATTGTTATTCCATACTAGCATCTGGAAAAGTGCAAAAAAGTAATAAAAACATTTTTCGAATAAATTTAAGTATTAGGCTATTGCAGAAGTCGCAATCCCTAGATCATGCTAATATGGAGAAATTAACTTCTTGTGGCAAAACTTTAAGCTGAACAAAACATTTGAATATGTGGGATTGTAGAGCAACCTCAGTTCTACAAAATGAGACGTAATGCGACTCTGACAAAGATTTCATTTAATTATGACAAACTCAATAATCTTTACGCACTATTACAAGTACTTAAACAGAAAACATATGTTGTAAGTTTTATTATTTTTCCGTACTGATCCTTTTTTACACAAAAATTTCCAATCGTATGAAATAAAACTTGGAATGTTTCTCTATCAAACAAAAAGACGACCTTGAAGTTTGGTTAAGAAATGGCGGAGTTATTAAGATTTTTTTTCACGCCGGACTTTTGGGACATTCTGTAATGTACTGCAATAATTTATACACCTAATTTTTTTTTATAAGAATTTATTCTCTACATTTCTTGTCTTGCTGCATCACCACCATAAAACTACTGGATATGATCTGCTTTTCTTATTCGATCTCTTCCTAATTCACAAAACACGAAAACTAAACTGGTATAAAAAAAGAATATTTTACTCTACGGCAGAGACGAAAGAGGCGCATAAAACAAAGATGATCAGATAATTGTACTACAAGAAAAAGACTACAGGACTGGCTATAAAAGAAAGAATATGTAATGATCAACTGTGAGAATAATTCATACAAATGCAGTGATTGTGACAGAAAATCCATCACGTTGTTATATTATATTTTCAAAAAATCAAAACGTAAGACCTTTTTTTGGTAGAAATGTCGGACAAGGGTAAAAAAAGATTTTATTCCTTCGAAAAAGTCGATCTGAATTATGATTTATGAAAAAACAACTTTACAACTCCTCCTTCAGCTCATTCAAAAGAAAACAGATATAGCCATACGCGGAAGCTCATATCTTAAGTATTACGCTAACAAAAATAATATGCAACGATTACCAAGAGAATAACAGACACCATGATAGAAATTATGAAATACTCAGGGTCATTTATTATATTTTCTTCTTGGTCAAGTCTTCAGTCACCAAAACTGTTACATGGTATCATCCGAAAACTGATAAAAAAACAAATTTTGAATTACGCGTATTCAGTTCTTAATTCTTTGGTCTTTGTTAACGTGGCTGAAGCCATTGCTTTACTCTTCGTTTAAGAATAATAACCCACAGTAAAACAAGGATAAGAAAAACAGAATAAAAACGTTTTCATTCCGATAAACCTGAAATATTAAAGCGTAAAATTTTGTTGACTAGACGACTCACGAGGAATGATATCTAGCATGATATACAAAAGTATCGACGCGAACGACGAGATATACCTCCTCTAATAGAACTCGGCTAGCTGAATCGAATGCCGAAAATTCGAGCTCTCTGTCTTTGTAGGGGAAAAAGTTATGGCTATTTTATGCTTCCAGCGGGAAAGTGCATTTTCACTGTTTCCCAGCGGACTTGATCTAACTTGTAAAACTTGTCCAGATCGCAGTCCCTAACGCCGAACCTTAAATTTGGTCTCAAATGAAAGAGCTCGTCGAGTTCTGTCTATGTCAATGAAAAAATTCTATGTACCATCAGAGGGTCTGGAAAAAAAGATTTCTGAAAACTCTGGTTTTCCAGAAAACATAAAGATCTTGAAATTCATTTTGAAAATTTTTCAACAATATCAGTCGACAACCTGTGCAATTCTGCACAAAATGAGGTGTCAACCAAGTTTTCATGAAGTTCCATTAAAAGATAATGAAGAACATACAAAAGAGGATCAAAAATTTAGCGTTGAATGAAAACACCTCAAAGAATTTATGCAAATAATTTTATAAAGCCTGTAACTCAGTCATATAATATGATGAAAAGTTGGTTGACATCTCGTGTTTTGCAGAACTGAACGGACTGTCGACTGGTGTGATTGAAAAATTTTCAAAAGGAATTTCAAGATCTTTGTGTTTTCTGGAAAACCAGGGCTTTTTCAAAAAACTTGAAAACTTCATAACTCGACCCCAGAGGCTCAAACAACCGAACCAACTTAGAGTTATTGTAGTCTAGAGATTCCCAGTTTGTGGGCAAAATATCGGCTCAAAAGCGATTGAACACCTCGAGAGGTTCCCTCGTCAGAACAAGTCAGAGGAAACTCGGAACAGAGACATATTTCAAATGTTAAAAAGAATACATTTTCATTTGGATTTCAACAACCTAAGAGTGGCGGCCCTGCATTACTTGCTGAAATAGAGACCATAATGGGTAGTTCATAATGAAGATCGCACATCTGATATCTGTTCTTACTATTACACCCTTCTCGGAAGGATCCACGAAATTCGGATTTTGTACCCAAATATTGTATAACTCTGCAAAAACTTGCTTTAATAATTCGTGCACATTTGTAACTCGATATTCCTCACAAACTGACACTATCGAACTTTGTTGCTTCAAAAGACCGCTGATGATTCTGTAGGGGTCCAATTTTTCAGATCTCTTCGAGAAGGTCCTAGAAGCAGAAAATTCTAACAACGTGTCACTTGTCAACAGCATGTGGAAAATATTAGACTTTCAATTGGAGAGTACTGAAATGGCGCGGCAAGTAAAGTCGTATTGAGATTGAGATGGTTCTTAAATTATTCATATCACTGGCAGAAAAATAAAATTCATATAGAGTCTCTGAGAAGCGCTTTTTCGTATTCAGCACACTCGATAACTCTAAAAGGTTTTTTATTTTTTGACGATGGGTTTAAGAAAGTTTTTCAAACAAAATGGCGAGAAAGCATTTTCATGCAAAAATAATATTATTTTGAAATTTTTACTTAAACTTTTGGCAGTACTCATCGTCAAAAAGTAGAAAATCTTCTAGGTTATCGAGTGTGCTGAATACGAAAAAGCACTCTTGAGCCACTCTAAATGAATTTTACTTAACGTTGATATGGTCATTTGAACTCGAGAATAATCAATGTTCATATAAGATTAGTAAACATTTTTGACTACTTTCTCCTTATATTGATATCTATCTAATTAAAAGAAAGAATAGAAAAAGTAGGTCATCGTTTTTTCTACTATCAGTCACAATTCAAAAATTATCTTTGAACAAGATGATCATCGGCTAATTGAAAAACATGATAATTCACTCACAGTTGTAGTACACGTACGTCAGATCCAGTATTATAGAGGTAAATCTCAGTGACTCTTCACTTTTAACTATGATGAGATGGGGTCCTACCGAAGATTGCTTTGTCCGCCATGTTTTAACCTGTTTTTATTTTCTGTTTACTTTATTGGGCTGTGATCCATGCTTGTCGTTCACTAATTCAGTGGTAATTTGTCCACTTTCTGTATTATTGCATTTACCTCTCGTGTTCATCTTATGGATATTTCTTGTTATCATTATTTTACAACTGATATGTGTATAGTCGATATGACAACAACTATAGCATACACACGACGATAGTTAGCAGAGATGATCATACAATAAGTCGCAGATATTAGTCTCATTCTATATGTTTAAAAGGTAAAACTAATAAGGATGAAACAAAAAGTAAGTTTATCTATCTAATACTATTTCCTACATGTTGAACATCAATGTTTTTTTAGTTTATATCTATCTGAATGACAATAATGAATGGTTTCCGCATATTGAACTGACAATGACAATCTAATAGTTAATTTATATTACGTTATAACGGAAATGACCGATGGTCTTTAGCGTGATTAATATCTGCTTTCTTGTTTGATATATTACAAGTGGATAATATACAAATATAACTATATCATAGATTATACAAGGCTTATCATTGAACAGCTAGAATCAAAACTTTGAAGATATGATCTGTCAATCTTCTGAATATTTTGCCTCATTCACATAGAAGTGATTATTAATCATTTTTTTCCTGAAACTGATTTATTTACTGTTATATTGATTTTATTGACCTGGTGGTTAATTTTTAATACCTATACATACATTGTTCATATGATTATTTTTCGTACTTACTCTTTCTTTCTTTTTCTTACCATTTTGGTAAAAAGGTTAGAATTTGACAAAAAGTGTATGCTAAGTTAATATTTTCACGAGACCACCTGCAAAAAAATTATTGAGAAAGAATTTCTCGTTTTTTGATTACCACTCTCTTTTTCTTCATAGAACAATAATATCCTTTTGAGTTATATATATATATATGCATATTGAAAGAGCAAACATGTGTGTATTTATGTGTGATGTATTCGGCATCTCATACATGTATGAACAACTGAATAGGATTCATTTGTCATATTGAGAATAGTTGAAAAAAAAAGGAGGAATGCAAAATCTATTGATTTGATTCATAATTGTTTGATATGATGGCGCAATATATGCATGTATATTGAGTACTTTTGTATTATGCTATATGTTTAAAATATTCAATATAATTTTTTGAGAAATGATATCATCAACTATACAACGTCATGGTGAAATGTATGACATTATTAGAAACTCAAGATCTTCACCGGTTTATATTTATTAATTATTTGTTTTTAAAATTAGTTTAACTGTTTTTCTGTTTAGATTATGTCTGATGTTGTCGATAATTTCGAATCGAGTCGATGTTCACGAACAATTTTACAATTAATAACTTGTCCAATATGTTTGGAAATATTTCGAGAACCGCTGATGTTACCTTGTCAACATTCATTTTGTCGAATGTGCCTTGAACGAATAACGGATGATAGATGGGGAAGATGGTATGCTAATTTGCTATACATTTGAAAAAGTTATGTAGACTGTCTTTTTTTGGATAATTTTTGTCTGAAAATAGATGTGGATCTGCGACCTTCACGAGCTAATAAAGGCGATGTCAATCAAAGGATGTTTTTGTTTTTTTGCAAAAACAAATACAGTTGAAGATCTTCTTCTGAGATAGAGTTTTGAAATGATTGTTGCAAGCCTATTGGCATTTCAAAAACTCAAAATAGAAATCTATTTAGCTTTTCTACTTCAGAATCATAGATGAAAATTTCTGGTAGATTCGGATGAGAACCCTGACAAGTTCTAAATCATCTATGGAAGTGACAAGAATCGTACTAGATTTTTAAAATTTGTAAGGTTTCTATTGTCTATCTTCAAAAAAGTTCTCATCATTCTTTTTATAGAACTCTTATATCATGTTTGGTTTCCGATTATCTGAAACGATTCTCTGAATAACATGCTTATTAAAAATAAAGTACGTAGAACACAAGAGAAGTAAAGCGGCCGTGTTAAGATTTGAACCATGCCTTCACTCATAGTCAACTTTTTCCTAATTGAGCTATTCGATTTATAGATCGAAATTGATATATATCAAATGAAGAATTTAGTTAGAAAGAGTAACTATTAAAACTTGATGTACTGAGTAGTTATTGTAGAAGTCAATGAATAGAATTAAAAGAATCGTTGGCACTGAGGAGGTATGCTCCTTTTAGAACAGGAGCCAAAATAAGTATCTGGTTCAAAACAAAGTGCTTAGAAATGATAATAGACAAAAAAATCTTTCGTTGAACAGGTAGATAAAAGCTGGTAAGATTTTGAGAACAATTTCTACTGTAACGACCGTTTCAAAACTCTAGCTCAGAAGAAGATTTTCCAACTATATTTGCTGTTGTAAAAAATACTACCTCTGGTTCACATTTCCTTTATTAGTTCGTGAAAGTCGCAGATCTATATCAGTTCAATCAAAAGTCATTCAAAACATGACGGACTACATCGCTTTTTGGGATAGATATTAAAGAGACTCAATATTTCTAAACTGTTTTGATTAATACTCATACTCTAGTCCGGTTTGTCGTGGATGTTATCGTGTTCCGTTCGCTGGTGTTGCTTCATTTGAAATAAATCGCACAATTGTCAATCTCCTAGAAAGTTTACCACATACGGAATCGAAACCAACATTGAAAGCGAAATGCGCTTTGTGCAAGAGAGAAGATACCATAATGGTGTGTGTAGTTTATTTAAGATGTTAATACAACAAGATCAGAGTATTGTTCCTATCATTAAATAGGTTTGTGAACATTGTCGCGAAGCTATTTGTCGTAAATGTCGTCATCAACATTATGATGAATTTCGAAAATACATCACAACAAAATTGAGTGAAACTCAAGAAGAAACGGAAAAATTAATAAAGAAAGAAGGTAAACGGAAGATTTTATTTAATCATTTTCTCTAAAAGGATTCATATCAATTTGTAGCTGAAAATATAAAAAGTCACGAAGAAAACGTCAAACATTGTCAGGATATATCAGTGTTAATTCGTGGTAAAGTGGCTGAATTGATTGAGAAACTAAAACAAGAAGAAGCAAAATTGTTAAATAATGTACAAGAATTTATGCATGCTGAGCAAAGGTAAATGGAAAGAGACAGTTTATTTAGTTAATAAAAACGACTATCAACAGTCCTTTTCTTCACTGTAAAACGTACGCAGAATGGTTTTGAAGGCGTAAAAATGTCCTACAAACTGTTAACCGCTTGTTGTTAACGATATCGTATTTATGGATCTAGATAAATACGCTGAACGCTATCAAATTTAGTGACTTATAGTAAGCGTTAGTGTAAATTTCTAAGACTTTCAGCAGTAAAATAACAAATTATTCATTTTGCAAACCTAGCTGAGTACAAAAAAATTAGAATTATTACATTGGAAGATGTATATACATTATTTCAGTAATTTTAGGTTAATTGACGAAAAAAATTTACATCTACAAGATCTAGCTATGATTAATACGTTCTGTTCATTATCGCAAGAAAAATTGATAAGGTATCGAGAAGAACCAGCATCAACTAACAAAAAATAGTATTCTATTATCGCTTCTGTTTTAGTAAAGAGGAAACAGATCAAGAAGCAATGAATATCCGTCAAAAATGTGAAGATTACGTTCTATCTGTCAATGAACTTGAAAGTCATATTTTTGTTGTTAAAACATCTTTTCGTCGTGTAAGACTAAAGTATTTCTATTGATAAATTTTCTTGAATTTGTTATTTTTCTTTTTTATTTAATAGATATCATTTTATAATCGAGATATACCAGATGATGCCATATCACTTGGTTTTGTTGAAATTGGCATAGAACTTGAACCAATATCAAGTGATATTACATTAAAACAAGACGTTCATACAGTAATAAATGGTGGAATTATTTTACCGTCATTACAAACATCGAATGAGAAAATACATCGTTCTCAAAAAATCACAAAACATTCGCCATTAAAACGTTGTTTTAGTGCAACATCAACATTACAATCAAACGGTAGTGGTGATTATACAAATCGTTTACACTACTGTTATAATTCATCCCTAGAAAATTGTTGTGAACGTATAAAACGTAAAATATCTTTTAATCGTATTATTGGTAAACGTGGTTCGAAAGATGATGAATTTATGCATCCATCATCAATGGCTTATTCTCAACGTGATCAACTCATTTATATTTGCGATACGTACAATAATCGTATTGTTGCCTATACGAGTGACACACTGTTATTTCAAACTGCATATTATCCAATGGAAAATAATATTAATAATGCAGGACAACAAATAATTCCCATTTCTCGTTTTCAACATCCTTATGCTATTCATATTGATTGTGATAATCGTTTATACGTTATTGATCAAAGTGATCGTCGTATTAAAGTGTTGAATCGAGAATTTAAATTAATTCGAGTTATCGGACAGTACGGTAGAGATGTTGGACAATATTCAGCACCGTGTGATATATGCACAGATGAACAACATAATATTTATGTTTGTGATGCTGGAAATCATCGAATAGTAAGTTTAAAAAAGTGTTTCTAACTCAACTGATTATTATTTCATCGATTTTCTAGTTGAAATACAATGAATCTGGACAATTTCTATTATCTTGGGGAGGATTAGGTGTTGAAAATGGCCAATACAAATGTCCAGCGTGCTTATGTGTAAATACTACAACAAAACGAATTGCAGTTAGTGATTGGGGTACATATAAAACTATTGCTATTTATCACATTTCATGATGTAATTTTCTATTATAGGAAATAATCGGATACAAATCTCGAATTATGATGGCGATCATATAACCTCAATTGGTCGTTTGGGAAAAAATTCGGGAGAATTTTCTCGTCCAATGGGTATTGCCTACGATGAGAAAAATGAAGATTTATATGTTGTTGATGAAGGTATATTGATCATTTCGAATAACATACATTTTTTAAGCTAAGTAATTTTCTTTCTAGGTAATAATCGTATTCAAATATTTCGAAATGAATACACATCGATTAGTGTTGTTCACTCAAAAATTGGTTTTCAAGGACCCTATGACATTTTATTAATGAAAGATAAAAAAATTCTCGTTTCGGAATATAAGGCACATCGATTACAAATCGTCTAGTTTCATCTATGTTATTTTGTAGATCATCTCGTATTTGTCTTAGAAAGTATCGAGTTATTTAAAATTCCTATAGGAAGGATATAACTGTTATGTCAGAATTGAATTTCTAAATTGCACTATTTCTAATGACATTTTAGGAATATTTATAAGCTTTCTGCATTTATAATCACCAGTTGTTATTTTTCGTAATTCAAACAATTATTTGTAATTTTTTTCTATACAATTATTTTTTCAATCTATTTTTTATTTTATTTATATACTCTAATGTATTTAGTTGTTAAAACTGATTTTCTCTTGATACATCATCAGGAAGAAATTGTAAATCATCATGAAAGCACTATACCACGCACCCGACCGTAACTGTGATAATAGATAGAATATGATTGACAAATATCATGCAGTAGATTGTTTAGCGACATATTCAAGGCTAGCTTGCTAATTTGAGATGTTACAATTGACATACGGATACTTCCGCACAGTTCTACCCATTTATATACAACTTTTATCCAGTTTCCAAGCTTGTTCGAATGACGCAAGAAGCAAGGAGACTCCTTTCTTCATTGTATGCTTAGCCGGGAGGGCTACTTTTCGAAAAACCAATCCTCCTGACTTGTCCCATTGAAAACTACACGTCAACTTTTTGAGATATTGCTATTCCACACACTACTCGACTAGCACTACAAAAACCCTCAGATCTTGATTTTATATAAATGACTTTTCTTGTGGAGGTTTTCTAGAAATCTGTCCAAAATTCTATCATCGAGCAGCCCTCAGGGATGGGAAAAAACATTGAATTATGGATAAATTGACATGATGAACATGAATCCGAGGTCAATTTGAGTACAATGTTTATGAGGAATCCAGGATTTTAGTCAGACTTATAGAAAACCTCCATAAAAAAAGTAGGCCTCACGGCTAAGCCTACCGTGAAGAGAGGAAAAGTGCTGGATACTTTTCTTCTTGCCTCATTTGAACAAGCTTGGAAGCTGCTTTCGTTTGGTCATATGTAAAGTTATATTTGATTAAACTTTGAGTTAATTATACGCTTTATAAAATGAGCGATTTTTTCCAAAATAGGCTAGGCTACCACTCCACATTTTTCTCGAAATGTCAAAGGTGAAAATCTAATTTGCAGATGATAATATACAAACCTTTTACGCTCTATCCACTGGTACTATCAGAAAAATTTTAACATCAATGGTTAAAATAAAAACCGGGCTTATGTAGGCCTCCTGAAGGCAGAAAATAGACTTTTCTGACCACTTTTTCGACATGTTCTGCATAATATCTAAGAGAAAAAATAGTGAATTTACACACAACTGAAGAATTCTAAAAGACAATCATAGTGAGATTTTGCCGGATAAAAGTTGTGTATAAATAGGCGGAGCTGTGCGGAAGTGCCCATACATACCCATTATGATCAATCGGAAACTCCATCTGATTGAACTAATAACTTTACCGGATACTTGAAACAATATGTCAGGATGTAAATTAACAGGTGGATCGTAATAAACTGCTGTTATTTTTCTTTTTTAAGACACTTATCTATGGTTCCAAGACTCCGTTTTAGCTCATTCGATAGAGAATTTGCTGCTCTACAAAACAATGTACTTTATTTATAAATATATATTCATACTTTTCTTGTAAAATAAGATAAATTCTACAAGTTCAGCCATCAGCACTGAGACGAATAACAACTGGGCTAATTGTTCTCAAGCCGCCCGAATTTGACCAATTAAAGCCTTTTTATTTGTTATTTTATTCCAGTTCATCTGGTCACACAATTCATACAAAATAAAATAATCGAGCGGATTTAAATTCGAACTATTTGACGATCATCTTGACTTCGGTCAAAAATCTCGGAAATGATCCTTGTACCATGTTTGAGTGTGATGATTCTTGTGTACCGGTGCTCCATCTTGTTGAAATTTATATTCATTTCCCATTAACTTTTGACCATCTTTTAATGCTATTGGCTACATTTCATAAATATAATGTTATTTTTTGTTTCTAGATTCTTCTTTCAGAGTTTCAGGATTTTCAATGTCAAAAATCCAGATTTTATATTATTTACATTATTTTACTGAGATATTGTTTCGAGTATCTGTGGTAAAAGTTTTATTTCGACATATCAATCTCATCAAGAAACTTGAAAACCTTGTTCGATCGAAACCAGCAGCAGATTGGTGCTCTTCATAGACGATTACTTTGTACGCAAACAAATTTTGGATTTAGATGATTTGAAAAGGTTTGCATCATTGTTTTTCTCAATCATTTTTTAAAAAGTTCATCGAGGAATTGAAAGGCTAAGAGGATAATGAAATATTTTAGAAGTATGTCGGTGTGCCTTCAAATCTTTGCGCAGCATGGTAAGTCCCTCTAGTTGTTTAAAAATCGTGCTATCGACAAAGGACATCTCTGAGCGACAGTTTATAAGAGAGTGTAAATCTTTGATTATGATGCTGTCGAAAGTCAAATATAGTTGTAGATGTACGACAAGTAAATAAAGTGTTATAGAAAAAGAAGATTGATTATTATTCTTCGTTTTATTTAATCTCTTAAAATCTGATATTGTAAAGGAACAATTTCTCGTTTCAACATAATAATAGACACACAAGGGAAACAAATGGGAGAAATAAAAAATGTTCGTTATTATTTTTTTTGAAATGTAATATGTTGAGAAACTATTTTATTGAATAAAAAACATTGATTACAGCTTCTGTGTTACATTATAGCTAAATTATACGATTCAAAATCTTCTAACACATCAAAATCAATGATAAGATCTTAATAATTAAGAAGTCTAAGAATTTTCTGTAAATCATATCTCTATCAGTGATACCATACTTGTTTATTCTCTGTCGTTGTCTTCAACAGAAATCGGTTTGTATTGGACTAGAGTTATTTTATTAACCGTTTAATGACTTTAGTTTTGTATAACATAAACAAAACTAAACCGTTTAATGTTCATGGATATGGTGATTCGTACGATTATGTACTTTTACATAAAACTCATCCGTTTAAGTCTGAAAATGGACAAAAGTGAGAGTGTACAACGCATTTTGACGAAAATGATTATTAAATTTTATTTTATTGCTAGACAGAGACGCCATCAAATATTATTTTCTCAATGTTATGAGAATATTAACAATTATTCAATGTTGAATCCAAATGAGATGGTCCTTCTAATTTATGCTATTTCCGTCCGCAATTGAACGAAGTATCATATTGTTAATTATGATATATTTTGTTTTGAAAATAAGCAGTTTAAATTGGCTATTCGAATTCAAGTTTAATGTTTTTTTGTTTCCGTTTCTATTTTTTTTTTTTTTTTTGCATAAGGTTCGTTCATTTTAGATTGTATAAACATAAGTTTTGACTCTTCATAAAATCAAAGCAAAGATGTTCTTTTATATTGTTGATGTTGATGTGTGTGACATTCACACTATTAAATATTGTTTGATGCCAACAAAAGAAAACTCATAACGTTTCAAGTGTGAAGTGTGGACGATCATTAAAAAAGAAAATAAGAAGAAAACATTTTTAGAAACAACAGTATAAATAGAAAGTTAAAATTCAAATGTTTTTCAATATTAATTTGATATGCGTACATTTTACTTTTTTTGGGTTATAAATAAAGTAAGCCAATTTATTTATGTTGTTTATCTTTGTAGAAACAAAACAAAAATCCCATCACATATCACTTTATTATTGTCATTGCTAATGTTGTGTTATATTAAAATTTGATTATGTAATATGAATATCGAATAAGTTTCGTGAGTATATGTATATATTGAAAGGAAACGATATTCAATAGATATATATATATATAAAGTTGCTGAAGGAAATTGAACTACAATAATTATTACCTTGAGAAAACATTCATAAAGGAGAAATAACAACATCAATAATCCAAATATACACAAAATAATCATAAACGCAGACTTATGCTAATGATGAACTTCTTTTCTTTTTTTTTATAGAAAAAATTTTACAAGAGAAAAAAAGATGAGATCTAAAATAATACCATACATCGCCTATATTAAATTTATTATTGAAAAATAGACACAATGATCGTTTAAATAAACTTAATCGATTGTAAAAAAACAAAAAAAACAAAATACTAAATCAAATATAAGTCTCTCTTGAACTAATTGAATGAACAAACTGAACGCAAATCAAGTGGCACAATCTGTTGTTTCTTGACATTTTTGTGCGCACGGTAAGAAATTAATTAGTTGACACTAATTTCTATATAAATAAATTTTGTTTTACTATTACTATTATTGTTTAAAATCGTAACTGTAACCACATATACACAAAATATGTTTAATGACATTCACACTTATCGTTAAAACACATTATAATAGAGCTAATGACAAGAAAACGTCCCATCATCTGCATATAGACTATATACTATGACTGACCATATCCACCTGTCTTTGACAACAGAAAGAAAAGATTTTTTTTTTTTAGTAATATAACTGGAATAATGATAGGTTTATGCAGAACATCTGCGTTTTTATTAATAATGGCTGCTGATGATAACACTTAATTCTGTAGTGCAGAAAGGTCTCTAATTTATGTTTATAAAAATTGAATCATCTAAGATCGATGAGAGATCTCGAATGCGTTCAAAATTGATTAATCAAAACGGTGAAATGATTGTGATTTGTATGAGAATAGTGGTCAGTTGTGTACAGTACTCCGAGTTCTGTTCTTGACTGGATTTTTTCACAACCAAAAACGATTGCACCTACTATTAAACATTCTGAAGATTTGTCACACGACACTCTTGACTTACACTATAATATAATATCTTTATGAAAGTGTTTAATGTCAATTTTCAAATTCACATCTTCAATCTTTCTCTATTTTAATTCACTAAAAAATCAAACAAATAAACAACGAAAACACTGTTTTATTAAAACATGTGTAAACACAATAAGCGGAAAAAAAGAATATATACAAAATGTGATAAATGATTTTATTATCACTTGCGAGAGGGAATTATTAGTATGTAATTTTAGTAAGGTAACGATGTTTGTGGTACATTAAATGTCGACGAATTTGATACAGGATTTGAAGCCCAATATGTTCCATGTAAATAGGGATTTGATGCACTAAAATTATAATCATAACTACTTGGAGTCCAATAATTTGAATATGGTGAAGCAAGAGCAACATTTGTGGCTCCCGCTGCTGACATTGTTGGACTTAAACCGGCAACAGCTGTCAATTTTTGATGAGCTGTATGATGAGCGGCATAGCCAAATGCATAATTTCGCATCAAAAAGTCTTGTTGATATTTATTATAGGCTGATTCTGGTACAGCTGGTTGATTCAACTGATGTAAACCGTTAAAATCAAATTTATATGCATAACGTTTACCATGTACTTTTGTCATAATGTTTTTATCGTAATAGTAACGTAGTGCACGTGAGAGTTTATCATAGTTCATATTTGGTTTTGATTTTCGTTCACCCCATCTTCTTGCTACTTCATCCGGATCAATTAGTTTAAATTCACCATTTTGTCCTTCCCAAGAGATGATACTAGTATTTGTTGGTTCAGCTAATAATTCTAATAAAAATTGCCATAATTGAATTTGTCCAGTGCCTAAAAGAATAGATAAAATAAAAGTTATTATTCGAAGAAGAGCAAATGCTATTAACTCATCTTACCAGCAGTACCTCCAAAACGATTTGAATGATGTGAAAACAGACTGGATGGGCCGGCAAGTGTTGAATATGTATCTAAATAGAAAAATAATTGTTTAAACAAAAGATAATAGTTATAAGATTTTGTGATTACCTCTTAGACCGCCATGTGGAGATTCTGCTTTAACCAGGGACCATTGCTGATGTTGTGATTCAAATTCACCTTTAATTCTAGCTGATAATGATGCGGATGATGAGGAATAACCTAGAAATGAAAATTATTGTATATTATACATCATGTAGATTCATTAGATATGAGACAATTGCACTAATCACTATCATTTTTTCTTTTTTTTGCTTCAATGTGATCAATCACACAACTATTTAAACAATTTTTTGATTAAATTTAACTTAATTTAACTCTATTGATCATATGATTACTCTTGACTTTCGCTTTTTCTCAGAAAATGCGGCTCATTTAAATACATTTTTCTTCTCTCTGTCATCTTCTGCGTCGTTCGAAGAACAATTATCACATACACACAGACAGACACACACATACACACACAATAGTAGAAATTATCATGCGCACAATAGACATAACTTCTTTAACTTGAAATAGCATCTTCAACCATCTGTTTTTACAAAATAAATATAAAAAAATGAGCATGCAATGACATATCGTTCGTTGACTCTTGTCTTATTCACAATTAACACAACTTTTCATAAAAGATAGATGATGAGGAATTCTAGTAACTTAAATACAAAAATATTTCTCAATGTTACTAAAATAACGAATAGACATAGTACTTTGTTTAGAAGCCCAAACTGATCATGTTTTCTTTCTCTTTACTTTAAAAACACATATTTCGTCTCATACAAGAAAACAAGTTTCTTACATCTAGCTAAATGATAAAAATTCAATTTTTTCTCCGACTTAAACTAGCTTATAAGTTCGGGTGATGGTACTCAAAATTGTGTTACTCATCTAAGCAGATTATATATATGGAATTATATATACACACTCTTACACGTTGATAGACAAATGAAACGGTATTATAGACAGGATCTAAGGAGTACATGAAGTAAGAAAGAAAAATAGATTAAGTGTGATTGTGTTGTTATTTTGAGATAATATTTACATAAACAATAGAATCTTACTTTGTGTATGGCCACTGACAGGAGTCCAAGCATTCTTTGGCGGTGGCTCTAAATCAGAAATAACAAAAATTTTTACAAGTGTCGATTTTACTTTTAGTTGAAAAAATAGATATTGTGAAAGTAAAAATAAAATCAAAGTAATGATGACACACTTAAGCCTAAGGGATAAATACACATTTTACATTCTAAAAAATGACTGTAGTCAACATGACGAGATAGAAAAACTTTTTCAATTGAAATTTCAAATACAACACTGTTTACATCTCAAGTTCAATGGAATTTCTATATTTTCAAAGGTTTATACCAAATATTAGTAAATAAATCTCATACTCAAATAAACAGTAGAATTAAAACGTATCATCTTCTAATATGTACGAAAAAACCTATACATTCTTTTTAGTCTTTCGCTAACATCTTACAGTATTAGAAGGTATCGAATCTTGATCAATAATAATAATGATTCTACTTACATGTAGAAAAACTTACTTCTCTGTGAAATCAGAAATTTCTTATCTAACCTGTACAGACGAAAAATTCTTATAAAATGAAAAACGACTCTTTTTTTTCCTGTTTAAGAAGAAACTTTCTTAACAAAAGAAAACCCGTTCTACTCATACTAGTACACCATCGGATGTTTTCAAGTTGTATCAATTTTCACAACTATTTCCTGCTAGATAAAAAAAGAAAAAAACATATACAAACATTTTTTTTTTCATTTATTGTTTTTTTTTATGATATGATATAGACAATCATCTCGCGTGTGACTACATCAACTATATAAGGATAACGGAAAATCGCTATTCCTGTATGATGTTTTTATTTATTAGTAATATCTCCGGTTTTTATACTGCTGCTGCTGTGTTATGTCATCATCATGTCGATTTTATATATTTTTTATGAAGGAAATAGTCTGTATGTGTCTCTTACCAGTAAGCATGTCTTGAACAAGAAGAAGAATATATAAATAGGAAACTAGAATAGAGACGCCTTTAAAGTCCGGAATTCCTTAAAATCGGACTGTTACGGAAATGCAAGCCGATTAACGTTTTCCTTAACAGGATTGAATTTTTTTTTTTTCTTCTTTTATTTTCAGTTAGAAGTAGAAAAAGTTCCGTTTTGTATTTGGAAAACTATCGTATAGTAGAAATAAGAGAATAAGAGAAAATTATTTTCCGTTTCTTTTTTTTACATGAGAAGAGTGAGTGTTAGATAAAATTTGATTAAAGTTCTTCATTTTTACACTATGAGTTCACTTTGTGTACTCTCTTTTCCTTCCTCTTTCTCTCTGTGTATGCGTCCAATGAAAATATTTTATATTCACTTCCGCCAATCAATTTATTCTAGCGTATAAGAGAAAAAATGAACCTATGAATTCATTTTCCGTCCGTTTCATATATATGCGCGTACTCAATACTCACTAGTAGAGAAAGAAAAGAAGAAGAAAAAATAAAATTAGATATATGAACGGGTTAAAAATTTACCTAGATAGATAGATTCGATCTTTCTGAAGTTTTTTAATCATGTAATCAAAAAGTTGTTTTGTGCGAACTTATTCTATTAACAGTTGATGAAGTATTCGTTATAATAAAAATAATTATTTTTGTAGGAACTCTGAAAGAACTTCTAGTCTCTAAATTATTTCTAAAGAAGGTATGACATCAGAAATAGCATAATATCTTTTTACAATGTACTGCATTCAAAAAAGCAATACTGTCAAATTATTAGGCAAAAATTAGTACAACGCAAAGTTAAATTGATTAGAAACCAAATAGACTGTCAAAAAAGAGGTGCATTTTCGAAAAAAAAATGCATCTTAGACAAGTTAAAGGTGGCTTCATTTTTTATCAGTAAGATAAAATTTCCATGTAAAAGACGCACTAGGATTTCCTACGAAGGCGACTGGATTCCAATTTTATGCACGCGTAGTATCTTTGTGAGACATCATGGATGGACATCAGGAATCGCGAAAGAGGAATAAGACTACTTTTAGCTTTTAGGCCTATAGGTCTAAAAGTTAAAAGTAGTCTTATTCCTCTCCGCATTACTATATTGTAACAAAAGTTAATATGTTCCAAGTTGATACAAAAACAGTCATCTTGCACACTATTCATTATCATACAAGTATGAGCTACATTTAAAAAATGACTATATAGCTGCCACTTTTAAAACTCGTCTAAACCAAGTGACATTATTTTCGTTGTTATTGTGCGTGACCGGTAACTTTTGTTCCTCTCTGCAACAGTAAGACAAAGATAAAAATTTTTATATATTGTTTCATATATAAGACGAATACTGAAAAAGTTTTTTGAATTTATCTCAGACACATTCTCATTTTCATTCAAGTTGACATCCTGTCTGTTGGAAGCTACTGAGTAACGGAAGCAACATTCTTTCCTTCTTTTTTTTTCAATCCCACTCTATTTTTTTTCTCTGCGAGAAACAACAAAGTTCAATAACATTGAAAGTTATTTCCTGAAATATTTTTCTTCTTTTTTTTTAGTATTCTATATTGCATTCAAGTAAATGTCTGCAAACCAAAAAAGAAAAAAGGGAAAACAAAGAACTTTTATATATTTTTTTTTCTAATGCAAGTCAACATTTCCATACTGATTTTCTCTGCTTCAGTTTTTTTTATTTTCATCTTACTTCCGATTGAACATCGTGTTTATATCAATCATTTTCTTCTTTTTTTTTTGTATGCGTTGTATGTAGATCGATTTTGAATGGAAAAATAGTAGCAGTAAGTGAGAAAAGAAGTAGAAAATAAAAATGAGCAAGTTTTTGCATATTATGGATTAATTATTGTTCAATATCTTTACGGAACATTGACGAGCCGTTAGCGGAGTCACTGCTCCTTGTGGAAAAAAATACTAAGGGCAATAAGCAGTTATTACATCTTTTTTGTTTTTTTATAGTATTTTATGATATCTATTTCGTATCTTGTTATTTATTTTGATGCCGAAGGTTTTTTTTTGGTCTTTATAACACCGGAAACATGAATTTATACACACACTCTCCCAGACATACGAAGAAATATTTAAATTTTCAGAACTTAGACTTAGTTTTATTTCGATTGGCACTTACATATTAACATTTCTTCCTAATATTGACAAATCTTAATTAACATATACGTAGATGACGAAATATTGACCTGTTACAATTTACTGTAACCAAATATATATATGCAGATGTATATAATGACGACGTTCTGTTTTCGTCATATAATAAAGAGAGAAACACACCTTTTTCTTATTCTAATTTCATTAAATAAAGAGTTGATCAATTTTGAGTTAACAATATTTGATATACAAAAGACTATTGAATTATTTACCTGAAACTTTCTGTACGTTCCAACATTATAGGCGAGTATCCTATTGGTGGACTGATTTAATACAAGATATTATTTTGGTCTAATTCATCCAAAACTGCATCGTTTTAGCATTCATTTGAACACTGTTATTTAATTTATATACGAAATATGTGAAAGTATCAGATTCAGTAAAGTTTTCGCACTAATTTAACTGATTATTCTCTATTTTTTTCATTTGGTTCAAAGATCCACTGGTTTTTGCTCGTCGTCTACAATTTTTGATCAATTAAAAAATCGACCAATAATTATTTTTTCTGTTCGAGAAGCTCAAAATTTTCCGATTACTCTCTCCACACGATCTTTTAAGACATAATTTTGTTTTGTTCATCATAAAACACGATAATTATGATGATAATTAGATCGAGCATATATCGAATGATTTAATCTAAATATTGATTATATAATTGACAATTGTCTTATCAATCATATTTATCGCAATATCATGTTAAAACTATGTTCGTGTTCTCTAACCATACATGTATATATTCAATACCTTTCGTCAATATTGACTGCTAAAGATGCTCGCGTGTATACGCTAAACAAGACAACAATATCACATTTATTTTGCAGGTGATTTATTCTCTCTCTCTCTCCTTACATTAAGTCTATTTGACAAACTTGATTTCATTAGAAAAATCTGCTATGATGTAACTGAACTATACTCTAACAGAATATTCTCGTCTTTGTTTAAAGCCTCATTAGTATGATAAAAAAAAAATGAAAGAGAAAATAATTATCCACTCTTGTTTCTGTCTTTGATGTCAATATTTTTCACGGATTTGAAAAAGACAAAGAATGGATCTATTCTTCTTTCTTTTTTTTACCTCTCTTTCTTTCCATGATTTTGTACCTGATTAGCCTCAAATCATTAAATTGTACTCTAAGAATAAGTGTAAATAATGACTATAAAATAAGATGAAGACATTGTTGCTCGCTTCATTTGTTCTATTCAACAACAATAAAAGAATGAGGACACGTGCGATGATACACACACACACACAGCAACATTATTAAAGTTGAGAATCAACACGTCAAATAATTTTAATAAAAAAGTAAATTTCTTAACTGAACTAAATCATTTCACTATATTGCATATGTAACAATCATCGATATAGATGATCAAGACAATTTAAGAATGATAGAAGAAAAAGCAGTCTGATCTTTCCGATTTTTCAAATTTGAAAGATGAAATGTTTCTAATTACTAGTTGAGAAAAGTTCAAAATTTGGACAAGTGTTTCTCAAATTAAAGTGGTATGATAAGTTTTTATTTTTAGGATAAAGAATGCTCATTTTAGAGTGTTCAAGTTTTCGTGGTTAATGTTGATTCCAAAGTAATTGAAGATAATTTCAAAGATGTCTCCTTCTTCGATTGTAACTAATTGTTATTTTTTTTGATATTTAAGGAAACGTATGTTATCATGCGAAGTTATTATACTGTTCTATTCATTTGACCATAGTTAAATTAGCCTATAAGCTGTCTATCAATATTTAACTATGAACAATTGCATTTGAATAGAGAGAAAAAAAAATAATAGTGATTAATCATGATGATGATTAATAGAGAGAATAAATGAATTAAATTTCGATGTAAAGTTATGCAAAAGCAATCTGTTATATTGTAGCAACATTTATGTGTTTAATCCATACAAAGGAATTATATTTTCCATTATACAATAGTGACGTGATGTATTTGTTATAATGTAAAAGTTCATATGTTATGACAAGGATATAACAGTTCTAGAATTTACTGAATTGGACAGACTAGAATTCTTTAAGTACTATAATTCAAATATCTTCCTCTTATTTAATAATGTTGTTTAAACTGGTAATATGTATTAATTAATTCAAATTATCTAGTCTTCATAAATCCAGTTTCATAACTCACACATTTATGAAACTTGTAAAAATGTTTCATTTTTACTTAACTTCTGTGTTAAAAAGTTCAACGTCCAAGTTTCCTAAATTTTGTGAAACTTGTTTTCAAGTTTCATAAATGTGTGATTTATGAAGACAGGGTATCCCATTAATTCATGCAACAATGAGCAACCGGTGTGAAATTCTCCCTAGTATTGTTAATAATTTGTCTGTGAATGGAATTTCATCTCTTTTGCGAATTCAATTTGAAAACAGATATCTGCGCTTATGCTCATGTTCATGAGTATCTATGAGTATGGACGCAGTTATCTACTTGGATCTCTCCTAGTTCATGATTTTTCTTTTCCTAAATCAATACTATCATTAGATTTTTTTCCACACAATCGAAACAAGGAATCTTTCTTTTCTTCTCTTCTTTTTGTTAATATTTGTCAATTTGTCTCATAAAATATGGCGGAACAAAAGGTTAAAACATATTTTCTATCGATTTGATTAACACATACTATCGATGTGTATGTATGCACCGTAAATTGATCTTTATGAGATATTGAAAGCACGTGTGTTTACGGTAAGTTTTGAACTCTACCGCTTCATAAGAGCAGATGTGTACGTTGTATGTATGCGGATCAGAAAAGAGGAAATCGAATAAAAAAATTTCTTTTTACATATAGTGCGACACATAATGTTTGA